TCTCAAAAATAACTTTCGTCTCATGCTGCACCGTTCATACCATGGCGCATACAGTCCAGAAAATATCTCTTATCTCTTTCAGATAAGCCAATCAATGCGTTGCTCTCAAACAATGCCATCTAGGTTGTATTACCGGCAATCGATTTACGAGCACAGATACCGATACTCGTACATACTTGTACAGATACAGGCACAAAGCCCCACAGTAATATCAAGCCTTGAGCAGACATACATAACATTAACCCCGGGAACAATGGATAAGAAGGGCACAATACTCTTGAGTAATAACAGCAACAACAACAATAACCATTTCCCCCTCCCGTCTGAAGCCTTTCTGGCCACCTTCCAATTGCTTGTTTGTGTCTCTGTCGGTACTTTTTCAGGTCTTATTCCTTTCTTTTTCAAACGGCTCGTTCTCACGCCATTTTCGCATTCAGTATATATGAAGATAACGGAGACTAAGTCGCTCAATTGTCACCATTTTGAAAATCTGAAAATACATTTGTGATCTGCGGCTTCCATGGATCACAATGCGATAAATAATTCCGCTACCACATAACTTCTAACCCCACAAATACAATCTCTGATTACCCCTATTGAGATAAATTTTATGCATAAACATGCACACCTGCCATTGGGTTTGATAGGCCGTTGAACAGAGCCAGGGAAATACGTCACGTCACGTCACGTGACCTTCGAAATCGGGAAGTCACGTGGTCGTCTAGTTTAAGGCGTACAAGTTTTCGTTCAGGTGACATCATCTGGCTCTCCGGTGTGTTTACACAAGCAGCTTGTAGTCGCCAACATCATTCCAATACATCCAGTTTTTTTCACATCGAACAATAGTAAAGAAAACAGAATAGTCAATCTCATGACGTTGACTCATTTACTACCTCAAAATCTTCACAAATTATCCACTTTTGCTACACTGATCTGAACGCGTCTCCAACAGCGCTGACTCTCTTTTGACCACTGTAGTTCTCGCGGCATTGCTCTGAAAGCAAAATAACCTCTACCACTATCTTTGCCATGTCAACACGAAAACAATGATACCAAGAAAGGTTTGTTGTAATGAATCCAAGGGTCAGCATTGCCGTTCTGCTGAGCCATTGTAATGTGTCTGTATGCATCTCGTTTCGGGGTGATTAGCCGTATATTGAAAAATCTAAGGTTCAATTCGTATAACGGTCTTGAAGCTAAAATGTGGAGAGAGTGGGGAAGATTGAGACGTCTCCAGAACGGCAGGGGGTAACGTGACCTGTTTGATTCTCGAGCAAGTCTCTTAATGAGTTTATTTTCTCTTTTACAATGCCTATTTTGTCTTCAGAAGGCTCTGAAGTTGTTTTCAGGTATCTCGTCAGGAACGCGCGTTCGCTATTTTTCACCTCGGCAGAATCCTCTGTTCTAGAAGTGCTGTAATATTGATTTCTGAGCGAAGTGCGTGGCACCATCGATGCAGGTAGGGTCCTATAACATTTTGGATGGAGATTCGGCGAGTTTCATGCTTTTTATCAGGGTTTTGGAGGGTGCTGTATTGATGTGGGGAGGTGTTATTTGTATGTTTAATTAGGATTACTTATAATATGAGCGGTTTAGATATATAACTTTAAATATTTAGTAGTAATTGGAAATTGATTCAAGTAAATTCAAATGATATTGTTAAGACGAGTGGAAGAGTATTGGTAGGGCAGGAGGTCAGGAGATTGAGCGTCTAGAGAGGGAGTGAGTGAGTGACGCCATGAATGGAGACTTTTTATCCGACTGTGATCTACAAATCATGTAATAGCTGTCTATATATCTCGTTCTGTCGTTCTGCTCCATATGGATGGGAAGCTCTACCCACAATTGCGATTCGTCATCCTCTTTTAGACGTTATTCTTTGGATTCTGCAAGTATTCGGACTCATGATCGACTACTCGTAATTGTACAATACTTTTACTCATACTTCATCGTAGTCATGAACATGTATTGGTTCCTGTACTACATACAGCCAAGAGTCAGTCTCATGGCTTTCGACCTCACCGACATCTTTCTTCTTATATTGAGACAGAATCTATCCAATTGACCATCATCTATTGACCAAATATCGATAGACTGCCGTGTCTACCATGCGGACATTTATTGCGACACTTCACCCTTCGAATCTTAGGGAACATACTCTACATAACAGTTTTTCTGACGCACACTCGCACACTCCAGACATACCCCATAAGCGGCATCTACTCCTGCTCCTTCAATCTGACTTGATTACACTGGACTCCGCAATCATCCCCATCTCCCTAACTGAGCTTTTGAGTCAGATCTCGCTTAGCTTACCAACATCTCCGATTAGCCGCGATGATCAGCAATGGGACGTTTTACCCTGCAACCAACAGACAGAGGGCTGGCCATGGAACGAGTGTTTGTTTTTGACCTTCTCCTCCTCGTTTCCCGGAAACGAGCACACGGCGCCCAGACCCTGTCGACCCTGCTAACCCCTATTTATGTCTAAACGCACCAGCGCATAGTTTGACATCGTCGTATCCGCTTCGGCCTCACCTGCTCGACCTCAGACCAGACCTTAGCCGCGATGGCTTCGTCTTGTGCGTATGACATGCAATACTGAGAGCTGTCAATGAGTACGTTGATAGGAATGTCTACAAGTAGTGCTACTACGGTATAGTCACGCGAGCAGGCTTGAGACTACTGTACTGTACTGTAGCGTAGTAGTGAGCTTTTTCTCCAGGGGCCTATGATTCCACATGTGTGATATCCACAGATACATCCCATTTCGGACCCGTTTCAACCTGTCTCGCAGCAGTTGCTTTTTTCATCGTCTGCGCGCTCGACATTAACAAAAAGCAACTATACGGAAACATTACTTTTTGCATCGCGGTAATGTACAAGTACATACTGTACACACCCGTAGTGTGACTCTGATGGAGTAATGTAGATGCTTTTTGAAAACAGTCGTCGAAGACACGGAGAATGAGAGAGATCCGAGTATGACTTATAGATGCTACTACTGGTAGTGTCAATCCGGCTTATCGTATACCAGTATGAGTACAAGATGGACACTTGGTTACACACCTGTCTTAAATAGCTGTGTAAATGAACACCAACGCATATTCGGGTGCTCCTTTAGACTCGATACAAGTACATAGATCGCAGCTGATATCTAGGTCTGGTTATGGTGGTGGCTAAAGATGAAACGAGAGATGTGCGGATCTGTTTCAACTTGTAATTCGGGCTAGTGTAGGTACAGTACCTGCTGTAACTCATGTGTCAGGCATACTTGAAGATCACCAAGCTGTAGAGCATGCAAAGTGTATGTCGAGTATTGAAGAGTAGTCGGAAACAGAGTGTTCCATCCGGGCTCTTCCAGTCAGTCCTAGACTTTCCTCCTTCATAATTGACACGTCTTCTTGATGACTTGGTACCTTGACAATATTCGTCGTGTCTCTCTGGTCAATTCCTCTGTTCTTGAAAGAGTTATACGATGAGCTACGATGGAACGCAGACTGAGTTCACGATACTTGAAGTATCTAACTAGCCAAATAAAACCACTCCGTTTACCGGAAAGAGTACGCGTACTTGTACTACAGTACTTGTAGAAAACAACGCTGGGGCTTATCTCTGAAAATTTTGCTTTCTTTCTCTTTATTGTTGGTTCTTTGGTGATAATGGTACCGTTTAGATATATATTTTTATACAATAAACTCTACTATAAATTCACTAAAAATTTACTCGCTCAACCAGATTTAGTGGGATTGTAAAATATATACTTACCATATTAGTTGATGTCTCCATCAAGCATGCATGCGCCGTGACTTACCATCAATAATACCTTTCATGGAAGGAGGCAAAAAAGAACTCTTATGTTCATTGCTGACAACCGAGAGATTCGAACTCTCGCCTCCGAAGAGACCAGGATATTGATTCAGTCACCTGAACCTGGCGCCTTAGACCACTCGGCCAGGTTGCCGCACGTGAACTGGTTGCGCTTGGAGCTATTGAGGGTGTCAAATATCGCAATGTGTAGCAATTATATATATAAAAAAGGGGAAAAAATCACAAAATAGATGCTTTTCTTGCCGAAACAATCACATCCAGATATGATGGAGTCTCTTCTATCACTCTTCCTCTTATTGAACGTCCATTGACTAAGTTTCCGCTGAAATCACTTCTGGATGTACCACTGTTCTCGTCAAATTCGATAATGTGGAGTGTATTGTATTTTATTCACTATATTTGACAATTACTTATCTCAATGTTTTTTATACAACACGCTCATAATCCTCGTTCCTTTGGAAGTGGTACTGCAAGCAAATGGAGAGTGTTTAGATGTGAGAGGTCCGCTTTTAGTTAGCTTGAGGAAATACTCAACTATAATACTTGACATTCGCCGTATGTCTCAACTGTCTCGTATGTATTGTAAAAAAATAAAAAAATGTTCCAGTATTTTGGAATTCAAACGCACCGCAAATAAATACCCAACTTGGACTCGTTCCTGTCTTGCTCAAATTGACCAATGTTTCTTGTGGTATGAGTACAAGTACCGGTATTAGAACTCACGTTCTTGAATTCCGCTGCTTGAATCTCTTTTTCGTGTAAACACAGTTCTTCAATGTGCGCCATCTCAAGTCTCAAGTCTCGACATCGCATCTCCTGTTGGCTACAGCCTCCTCCTACTAAAAATACAATAAACAGATACATTAAATACGTGTGACTGAAGTCACTCACGAGCCTTGCACACCGGTGTCGGGCCAAGCATTAATGGGCCGTAATAAATAACTGAGAGGATAGATGTTTGGAGATGCCCGGATGACTTGGAATCATATCTAGGGCTTCGAATCCTGGCTGGCTCGGTCTCGGCACTCAATTGGAGCTTAAGAAGTGGAGCAGCCCATCCAGGCATGGGCACGCACGCTGAATATCTGCTCTCATGACCACAAGATCCGAAAGCCGATGTTGAATCCACACCCACTAATAACAACGAACGACTTTCCGAGTCTGTCTCTCTACCTCTTTCTACCCTGTTTGCACTCATCACAGTACCAGTTACCCTTGGGGGGCGAGCTGAGGCCCAAACAAGGCAAATGGAACCACTCCCGGGTGCACTGGGGACCATCACAGGCCACCATTTCTCCGTAGGACACCTGTTCACAGTAACAGTAGACCGGTTCTCCGTCGTCCTCCTCTTCCTCCGCGGCCTTGGCAGACTCAGCAGCCTCCTGCCCCTTTCTCGATTTGTTAACCAAACGAGCAGATCTGGTAGCCGAAGCTGCGGGTGTGTCGTCTGACGATGGAGGCGATTTTCTGTTTCCAGGAGCAGGAGAAGCCTTGGCAGCAGTCTTCCGTTTCTTGGCTCCAGCAGCAGCGGCAGAAGAAGCCACGGTATCGGACACTGAAGCAGAGGTAGCGGTTCGTTTCTCGCCATTCTTTTTGGCTCCGGCTCCCACGGCAGCTGCGCCGTTAGTGGCTGCCGCCTTCTTGCCGCCAGTCTCCTTTCCACTGTCCTTGCCTCCCTCCTTGCTGGGAGTGCCTCTTCGTCCTCCATTACCGCTTTTCTCGGCGGCAGCAGCAGCGGCAGCCTTCTTCGCAGCAATGGCTTCCCGCCGCGACTCGCTTCGCTGGCTCTGTGCGCTTCGCTCGGCCACAGAGGGCTTGACATCCACAATGATGGCAGGATGGTCAGGCTCTCCGTACTGAATCACCTGGGGGATCTCACGTGAAGTAATTAGCTCATAATCGGCATCAATACGCGAAATGTGTCGTGCCACCGCTTCGGCCGCCACCCCAGCCACGTGCATTTTCTCCTCCAAACAGGGCATGAGCTCTCGAATCAAACCCCGAATCTCCAGCAGCATGTTTTCCCGTTCTTCCGTTTTCTTCGCGCACTCGGGGTCGTCCTTGGCCGCCGGTGGAATAGCCAGAAACTTGGCTATCAGATCCGCCACAAGAGGAGTAGTCGTGGTACATTTCGCGTCGATTTCTCGCAGAAGAGTGAAATGCCGCACAGTCTCGAGCGGTAAGGCTTCCAGAGCATCAGTGAGGTCGTTGAGACCAGGATACAGACCTACGGGCTTGTCTTGGGCTCGGCGCGACGACGATCGAGTGTTGTATCCTTTCATGACGTGTGGTGTGTACAAGTTATGATGTCGGAGAAAGTGACCTGCATGAACATGCATGAGGTAGGGTAAACGAATTTCGGTGGGAGGAAATATTTTTAAAGTTAGCCAATATTGCTGAGGTTAACTAAATGACTATTTTTGTTGACCTTTATACTTGAGACGTAATTACTCAGTATAGGTACTGTACGAGATTTATGGGATATCATCGATGCAAGGCAGTCGGTAAAGCAGCTCGAATTTGATAATAGTTGATCATTATACGGATTTGCAGTAGTAGCATGGCAACAAAGTCAATAGGGAGAAATACTACATGTAAATACATACGAAAATGAACGTCATTCCCTACGGCAGTTGCCTTGCCGTGTAGTCATTACAGTATGTCTCGACCTTCATTCCAGAACCCGAGAGCTCCATGAGAAGAACCCTGTGAGACTCGTACTACCACAACAGTACTATACTTGTACTTGTACGAGTGTGTGAGCAACAACAAGTAATCAATATCAATGAGCATACCAATGGCTACTAGTACTTGCACCCAAACGTCGCGTCTACCTACACCTACCAGTATGTATACAAGTCATTCAGCTATAAATGTCTAAGAAATACAGCTATTTTGGGGCTGACATTTGGCAAGCAGCCCGGCGGAGGGCTCTTCCATGGCGAGTCAGAAAACATTGTCTCCCTCTCCTCGTCGTCTACACGACGGACTCAGCAGCTGGCAAGGCAGCTCGATCAGTTTCAGTATGGACCTGCTTTCGTGGTCAGATCCACGCACCACGTTGGTATGTGGCAAGCGGCCCAACGAGAAGCGTAACACCACCCACTGGACCACACACCACCAACTAAGCCTGTGAAGTTTTCATCACTGGCAGAACAACCTGAGAAACCAACTATCGGATCCTGAGGTTGCGCTGGAGGTCTAAACTCTCTGGTAGATCAGCAGGTATGCGGTCTTGTCGTCCTTGCCATCCTCTTCCTTGGCGTACCAATTTTCGTTTCGAATGGCCTCGATCTTCACATCATCGATTCGGTACCACTTGGTACCGCCCACGAGCACGTTAACAGTGTAGTGACCGGTGGTAGTGCTGGTTCCGTGGTGGAAAACAACACCCACGAGGTTGTACTGGTTGGACTTGCCTCCCGAGGCTCGGAACTGCTGCTTAGCCTTGAGAGACAGCGACTCCATGGGGACAGACAGGTCCGCGCCGTACGAAATCTTCTTGTTGATCTTTCGCACCTGCAGATCCATCAGGTCATCACCGCAATACGTGAACCGCTTGAGCTGCACCACAAGGATTCGGGGTAGTTCTTCCAGTAACGTCTGCTTGCTAGCACCCGTGATGGGTCTTCCACCCTCTCCGAACGTCTCCACCTGCTCTTTGGCAGACAGAGCCTTGAAACCGGACTCCACGGAAGTAATGTTGGGATTCTCCACATCTAGATGGATAACATGGAAGGGCTCCAGCACCTTGGAGACGGACTGACGGGGCACATCGAGGTTGGATTCAAACTTGCCGCCGAAAATGTCTGACACGGGCGACCAGGGGAACTGAGGCGATCGGGTCGTCGAGTTCTTCTTGGCTCCCACCTGTGTCCATTCAGCGCTGCCGGTAGCACCCTCCTCTTTAGCAGCAGCCTCCTCCCTGGCTCCAATCACAGCTACGAACTCCTCATGCAGGCCGTCAAGCAGGTATCCAAGGAACTCCTCAGCATCCTCCTGCTTGCCTCGCTGGAAATGGCTGAACCGGGGCACGCTGACAATGCTCTTGTAAAAGGAGTCAATGGTGATATCGGGCAGCTTGGAAGTGGCAGGAGTGGATCCACCGTTTACTCCGTTAACGGCGCCTCGCTTGTAGTCGTCAAGGAAATCAACCACAGCCTCAGTCAGAGGAGAATCGCCGTCAAGAGACCGGGGCACCTTTTCTCGAATCAAATCAATCAGTCGAGAAAAGGGTAGACAGTGGACGAGAATCTGCAGAATAGAGTTCATGAAACACACGTTGCCGTTGTTAACAATACCTCGAGGTCGAGCAGTCAACAAGCTGTGGTGGTTGGTAGAAGTGGAAGAATCAAAGAGTTCAGAGTCGTAGGAATGGGCCTTGACAGCAGCGATGATGGAGCCAAGAGTGGCAGGAGGAGCGGGCGAGGCAGTGGGAGAGTCGGATTCGGCAGAGTCCTCTGTAGTAGCATCGCCGTTGGCAACTGCACTGGACTCGCCCTCCTGGGCCTCCTTGGCGTCCTTCTTCTCAACCTTGGGAACAGCCTTGGATGCTGCGGCCGCCCAGCTGCTCTTTGTGGGCTTGGCAGCAGCGACAGGAGCCTCATCCTTGACCTCCACCTTTGTCTGAAACTTCTGGGCAACCACAGGCTCGTATTTCTCCACCACCAGGTCTGCGCTATCGCAGATGGTATCTCCAATTTGCACACTGAAGTCCTCGCCTCGCACATCGACCAGGCGAGAGGTGGCAAACGACACAGGCTTTGATAGACGAAGCTTGGAGGCACCTCCAAGAGGACGGACTTCAAACCGACCTCCAATGAGCACGGGAAGCTGTGGCAACCGGTTGTTGTCCTTGATAAGCTGGAAAATCGACTCGATCGGGGTATCGTTGGCGTTATAGTAGGAAGGAGCGGACGAAGAGTTCACAGCGTATGTGGGAGTGGTGGAAGGCATGCCTGCGGGGGCAGCAGCGGCAGCGGGGGCGTTCGGAGTGAACGACGGTGCGCCAGGTGTGAATGGAGCCGTTGCTGCAGGGCTAAAGGAAGCGCCGCCGGGGTTGAAAGGTGCTGCTGCACCGGGGACAAATGCTTGGGGGCCCGCAGGTGCTCCTCCTCCACCTCCTCCACTGCCAGCTCCGCCTGGAGTGAATGCCGCAGCACCAACGTTGAAACTAAATGATTTCGGTTTCCTTGCCTGGTTCTGCTGATGTTGCTGATGCTGCTGATGCTGCTGATGCTGTTGCTGTTCAAAGTCGTGTGGCGGCGGTGGCTGCATCATGTGTGGAAGCGGTCCTTGGCCGGGCTGTGGCGGTTGGCCAGCTTGCGGCTGTGACTGGTGGCCCATCATCTGGTGCATCTGCCCATCTGGATAGTAGTGCATGAAGGGCGCCTGGTTGAATCCCCCATAGTAGGGGGGGACGGGCATGTATCCGTTGGGGTGATACATCATTGGGGGGTAGCCCTGTTGTTGATAGGGTTGTGAGTTCACTGAGTTAGACGCATTTCGGTTTAGAGAAGGAGGGTATGTGCTGGCAAAAACATTGGGGTATGTGTGATGATGGAATTAGACACATTCAAGATATAATGGGAAAGCAATATCGGTGGCTTTCAATCATCAGCCATCCTCATGAGTCGACATATCGTCCAGATGAGACTGTGTGGTGGAGCTGTTGGGTCAGTTTCGACAGGCATCGACATGCCGACAAGGCAAGAAAGTAGCAACTCAAACAATCATTGATCATCATTCGATATCATGAATCCATCACATTATTGATTCACTCATTTGTGCGTGCCTGATTTGCTTCGTCTATTATGTGTGACTAATCCAAAATGCACCTGGCGCAACTGAGAGATCTGTAAGTGGAAAGCAACGATAGCCAACGACAGTAGACGATGAAAACGGTAATAATAACGATAGCCATGACTGGCCAGCTCTCATGGTGATGATACCTTAATGACATAACCACTGGTGAAGATTGATGAAGACATATTTGCCCATAGGTCGCTCACAACAAGACGAGCCTCCACACTGACACATCACGAAGCCCACCAACCTAGCAAATCACCATCGTGGCGAACCACCATGGTCGTCGTCATCACCGTTAGTGTCGTCCACCATTGCCAACGGGTTTATGTATGACTGTTTTGATCTGTGCCTGATCTGGATCACACCACCCACACAACACATCACCACGACATATCCCATAGATCATACACATACGGTGGCATGAATGTAGTGATCATCCATCGTAATGCCACGTTGTCGTCATTCCATCGTCCCACAAAGCTCGTGTATCCACAGCAATCTCCCTCATCCCGCACTGTCCCACATGTCCCACATTCCGTCTCACATTCCATCACCCCGGTGATGTTGCTCCACCTGGAGTCCCCCACATACTGCTCAAACGAATACTCACTATTATACAATGCTGTTTGGGTGCGTCTATCGACAGATGAATGGATGGTCCGTTGTATTAGTGTCTCGGACGGCTGCTTTGGAGATAGTTGTTTGGATTGATTTCCAGTTGTTTGCGTATTGTCGTGTTTTTATGTCAGACTTGCTTTTTCGTGGTGCGGTTTTGAGTCTGTCAAAAAGAATATTCGGGGGCCCGGGTGGATCTATCACGTGGCCTCGTGTGTCGTGTCCGAAAAATGCCTTTGCTAGGGGAAAAAAGAGTGCTGTATACACAGAAAGGACGTGGATGAGAAATTGGAGCTTGCACTTCTTGGAGTAAAAAAAGGATTTTGGGCGACTTTTTGGATGCTCCCAAAACTTTATTTGGGTGGGGGAGTTAGTCAGCTATGGGCCGGGGAATGGGGCTATATATCGACGTTCCCAGTGTCCTAGAAGGGATTGGAATTTTGGGTTCGGATCGGGTCGTCATAAAGATGACTTTGAAGCAAAAAAATCCGCTAAATTCACCCTGGATCACCCTCAAATATACACACGTACACTTCTTTCCACAGGTTTCGTTGGGACGAAAAGAGCCAAATTCGAAATTTGGAGATATTTTATATTTTTGCCCGTGGACATTTGGGACCATGTGAACTAGCTAGGGAGAGCGCGGGAGCCAAAACACTTGTTGTAGACACGCGACTACGTTTCCTCCCTACAGATTTGGTGTTTTTTTCGTTTTTTTCGAGGTCTGCTGACTAAGAGATGGGGCAATGGTTCATGTCATATCTCAGTTGTGCTGGGTGAAAAATAAATGTCTTAAACTCAGACCGAACCTTCGCATGTTATATGGTGAACATGATTGCATTTTGATAACGGGTTGTAGTACGAGTTCTAGAGGACCATTTGGTATGTTGACAACTTGTCAGATGAAAACCAGGGACACAAACTGGTGTTAAATCCACCATGGTAATCTTCATGACTCTGTGATCGTTTCTATATGGTCGTCTTCTAGTTTCAGCCCACTTCAGCTCCTCCGAAAAAATATACATCTCCGATCGTCCGTAGTGGGCTGACAATGTGTCTGCCAGGACTACGGAGTTCGTGGAGGTGTTGAAACAGGTGTAAGAAGCCCTTTGGAGACGCACTATCTTGTTTAATGTGTTCATATCGTCCGTCGCGGTGAGTGTTGAGGATCTCGTAACATCTCGTCAAGAAGCACAGATAGCAGAACATGTAAAGAGTCTGGGGTCATCCTGAACGTGCTTGATCTACTGAGTAAGCCCCTTTAGTCACTCGTCGATATTCACCTCTGCAGGATGTCGTATTTGTTAGCGTCTACATGCACACTAATGTAAGGCACATTCGAACAGTGGGCGTGAGATGTCAGTGTACAATGGAACAGGGGAAGCAGGTATTTGATGGGCTATTACTATTGCCCATGTGTATAACGATGAATCATTTGACTGGGTATTCGGTGATGCTGTATCCTTATCTTTGATTCACATTTCATTTTTCAGGTATGGGTGATAAAAGGGGTGTGTATGGCTGTCCAATTACTAAGAGAAGTTGTCAACCGTTTTTGAAGAGCTCAAAGAAAAACCCCAAAACATCTCAATGTCCACTTTTCAAGGTCCTGGTGGTACATGAACATTCACAATACTCGAAGCTACATAATTGGTTTATTGCACACCCTCACACCGTCACTTCCAAATGATATATCTACGGTACACTCCAAACATAAAATACGTAGAATACAGCAATAGAGAGAGCTCATAAACACAAGAGAGATACCCCTGGCATCGCCGACTTCCACTCAAGATCCTAATATTACCAACTGCTTCATTCTTGCTGACACTGCGAGTACAGTATGTACTCGTACTATGCAAACACTTCTCAGAAACGCCCCAGAGCAAGTCTACGAAGTAACAATTCTAGTGGCACAAAATATTTCCCCCGAACACTCTGTCATATCCTCGTTATTCATTATCGTACATCTATCACTGTCTGTCGATTACAACAGACTATCACTGTTGTTGTTGTTTGCACTGCTGGCGTTCCAGTTGATGTTGGAATTCATGTTACCAGAGCTTGTGTTTGTGGTTGCGTTGTTGTTTGTGTTCCAGTTCAAAGAGCCGCCCATGTTGTTGTTCATGTTGTTCATGTTGTTCATGGTGTTCATGCCCCCAGTGTTCATGCCCCCAGTGTTCATGCTACCCATGGTATTGTTGTTTCCCATTGGGTTGGAGTTCCAGTTGGAAGTAGTATTTGAGTTGGAGCTGTTCGTATTCCAGTTGATACTAGAACCAGTATTGGAATTGCTGTTACTGTTCCAGTTGATACCGCTGCCAGCGTTAGAAGTACCGCCAGAGCTTCCGCTGTTCCAGTTGATTCCCCCACCTGTAGATCCTGTGTTAATGTTGTAGTTGGCAGCAGGTTTACTGGCAGTCAGAGTCTGGGATTGAAGAGGCTGGGGCTGCAGAGGTTGCAGTGGTTGAGCCTGAAGAGGAGGAATAGAAGGCTTTACAGATGACTGAAAGTTGCCAAAGCTATTATTAGAGGTGCTTGCACTGGCAAAGCTGCCAAAGTCGTCATTCTGCTTTTTGGGAGCCTGGAGAGCAGGAATCGAAGAGGGAATAGAAGGCTTGGGCGTGACGACAGGGACAGGGGTGACAAAGCTGGGTCCGTCGTCTAGCATGAAGTCGTTATTAGGCTTGCTAGGCTCCAGGGTCATACCTCCGATACCAGAAGACATGCCTCCAATACCCGCACTGAGGTCTTCCCTCGATGCCATGGGCACTTCGACGTTATTCGTCAGCTTCTTCTTCTGCTCAGTTTCGACCTTGGTAGAGAACTGTTTGATCACAGTCATGAACTTCTCAAACTGAGCCACGGTGTACTTGGGACCCACGGCCATGGACCACAGCACTGGAATGACTTCGTTGGCAATGACATCCACATCAAGCATCTTGACAAGAGTCTCGTAGAGAGACAACATGGACATCATGACTCGAGGATCTCGAGACTTGACTGCCTTAAGCATGCCGAGCAATTTATCTGTGACACTGTGTTTATCCAGACCAGACACAACGAGCTCCTTGAGAGCATTGATAGCAGCAATTTTGACACCCAGCGAAGTGGTTTTGGTGAAGACTTCACCAATCTTAGGGAAAATCTTGTTTTTGATGATGGGAAAGTCCAGTTTCTCTAGAATATCCTTCTGGCACTTGAACAGCGCATTCTCCTGCACTTCGGGGGCGCCAGCGTTGTCGAACATGATAAAGAAGAAAGGCAGAATCGTCTTCTCGATCTCCTTGGAGTTGAGGTTCTTCAAAAAGATGTCCAGATCTTCCAGGACCACCTTTTGCACATCTGAGTTTTGTTGCAACTTCTCATTGTCGCTTAGAATCGGGAGAATAATCTTGCAAAAGTCCAGAGACGAGAGCTGAGCAGAGATGAGAAAGATGACATGCAGAAGCGACGCCATGATGGCCTCGCTGACGTGGCTCAGCGACGAGATCAGAATCTTGAGAATCTTGTTCTTGAGAATCTCAAAGGGAAACTCGGGAATGATTTTGATGAACTGGGGAATGAAGGCTTCAATCTCTTCATCGGTCTTGCCGGAGAATTCGTCAATGAACTTCAACGACTTAAGAAGGAAAGAGTTGAAGAAGTTGGCTGAGAGAATAGCCTGAATAGGGTACCTATCGGTGGGGTACCGGGTCAAAAGCTTGGGGAGAATCTCAATCAAAGAAGCTGGAATCTTGGTGGTGTTGTTGGGCTTTCTCAAAAAAGAACCTAGGCTCTTGACGTCCTCTTCGTAGTTGTTGTAGTTGTTATTCGAGTCAATAGGAGACTTGAAGTTGTACAAAGTGATGGCCAGACACGCCAGAGAAAAGACATCGGCCGAAAAATCGAGGTTCTTGTCGAGAACCAGCTCAGGTGCAGAGTAATCCAGATTGATCTGCACGAAACGAGGATACCTAGCGTCAAACTGCGGGATAAAGAAGTCACGTGATTCAGAACCCGCCACCTCGCATGCGTATCCACATCCTCCGAGCTTCCAGTCTCCGAGGGAGTCCACAAAGACCGTGTTGAGGTTGAGGTTCATATGCACCATCTTGGCGTCTTCATGCATAAACTTGAGACCCTCAGAGACTTGCAGAAGACCCTTCTGAATCACAAGAGGTGACAACTCCGGAGGTATATGGTCACGTGTAGACCTCGAGTCACGTGACGCATCAGCCTCGACCTTGGCTCGGATACAGGTCTCCACTCGTTCAGTGACAAAGCTGAGGGAGCTCTTTCCCTCGTAGAGAGGTTCCACGATCCGCAGGAAGTTTGGGTGTCGTAATCTGGCGAGATTGGTGGCTTCGTTTCGCAGTCTCGAATAAATTTCGTCACTTCCCTTGCTGTTTTTGAGTCCGTTTTTCGAGCAGAATGATTCAAACTTTTTCTTGTCAAAGGTGAACACAGACACGGGGTCGTTTGTGGTCCTTCGAGTGGCGTTGTGGACTGCCCAGGCTCCCGCGTGAAATGCGGGCTCCGAGGAGATGTTGTAGTTGGCTGAGTGGCCGGATTTGACTGAGTTAGCACGGACTTGGGGCGGAACGTGTGATATAAGTTCTTCGAGGTAGTATTATCCGTCATCGAGACTCCTCCAATTGCTGCAAAACATACCAAGTATACCAAGGGGAGCTTCGCAGTCAATCTGGTAGAGACTTGGAGGAACAGATGGAAGTCACATGCGATATTTTGTATTTTGTAGGTGATGTTCATGTGGTCAACGATAGGTTGGGTTCCATTAGAAGTAGGTAGAGATATCAAGTAACATGATCTCACTTGAACCATCGCCAGATTCCCAATGAATGAACCTCACTCTCACTCTATAGTGATCTGGGCAAGACCGAACACCAACCCTTGACAGCTATATGCCAGGAAGAACACCTAACAAAGCACCAAGGACCGAGATCAGAAGATCATTGGCAGAAATCAAGTAAACCAAGGACAATTGGACACAGCAGCCAAGACCTCCGAACACCCTCTTACCTGCCCATCTGACAACAATGCTTGTAGTCCAAACCTACTATAGAGAACTGTGAACAGATGTAAAACTGGACCGAACCAAGTTTCACCCAGTTGACGTTCAAAAGAAAGCTCTGCCCAAAAATTCCATAACACTCTTAACTCCACCTCAACCCACACACACACCTCATACCAAGTACACCCTATCGCTGTTGGCGAACAGACCACCTTTCATTGCTCTCGCAACCCTTCACAGTGGATTCCCCTAGCCGCAGACAACTCCAACCTCCATAATTCACACTCACATCCCAGAAATCCCAGCATTTTGCAACTTTTGCAGCTTGAGGTCGTGCTAAACGGTTTGTGCAACTTCCAGCTTCCGTGTCACAGAATCCATGTCCATGGTGGCAGGGCTGCAGCACTAAACCTTATTGCTTGAATTTGACAGATTATGAGAGATTGAAAATTGGACTGGTCTAACGAATGGGTCAATCACGTGATAACTACCGAGGAACACCTTTTCCTCTTCTGTCGCAAACACCTCCATTTTCTACCCAAACCCTTATCAAACCAATCTCCCCGCGGATCGACCTAATCCGCTTACGTGGCGCCTCTTTGATGTTAGGGTTGCTTCCAGGACTCAAATGATGGGTGGGGTTAGGGCAACTTTTTTTTTCTCCTCGCCCTCGCTCCTCCTCCCCTACAGTACCCTCCCAGTAAATGCCACTACGAGTAGTGTTTCTAGGGTTAGGGCTTCTACGCGCACTCCCAAAGTGGACCATCATCACTAAAGGCTGTGCATGCATGGTTGCTGCCAGGGTCGTTTCAGGTCTACCGTACTTCGGGGATCCGTGCGCACACGGCGGGGTCACGTGACGCCTACTGAGCGATTTTATCACGTGGCATCATTTGACCTCTGCATTTCTTTCGGCTGCGACATTCGAGTCTGGATGTACTTGTAGCAGCCACTTGCTCGGTTTTTCTACTTGTAGTGCAACGGCTATTTTTAGTATGTTTTAAATCACGAGTTGGACATGTTATGTTTTTTAGGGTGTGAAAGAGGTCTAATATGGGAGTTGAGGATATCATTTTGTTCTCTGACACGCTCCGATATCGATTCCGCCTTTACATCTCGTGTACCATCAGTTTTGGCCCTGTTAACACTTCCCCTTCCCTTGTGACTTCTCCCACGCTCCTTGTTCTCCTGTTGTCGTGTTTTAAACCTAGTTTTTCATTTCTGTTTCTCCCATCCCTTGATACTTTTTGACCCACACACTCTTGAACTCACACTACACACCCTCTTTCAAGTCAGGCCGGCCCGGACTTTTTACTAACTACTAATATCTGTGCTGGACGCGGATACCGAGAGTGAGTATATTGGAGGTTGGGGGGAAGGGTTAGGAGAGAAGGAGGGAGAGGTTCCGAGGACCTGTTGTGACATGGATGATGACATTGATTTTGACGTTACGTTTTGTAGGGGTGGAATGGTGTGTGGGAGAAGTGGAGGAGACATGGGTGTGCCACTAGGCAGTTTATGCCAAATACGAGATATCATGTCGCTGTGTTCTTCGTTCTGTGGATGAGATGAGCTGTTATTGCATGATACCAGGAAGGTCCCCCGGTGGTGTAGCCTGGGGTCCCAGGATGAAGAGGTGTAGTTTGACATTTCTATATGGACCCTTTCACGACCATGGTTCTGAGCATCTGGAACGTCTTTGAGAACTGTTGAGCATTTCAACTGCCTGTGATACCTGAGCACCTTATGAACACACTGCCAACCGCAAAACCTCGTCAGTGACTACCGACAGTGAGCTGAGGAACTTCTTGATCGTCACGAGAGTCGAGATGCTACCTGAGAACAGTGGATGGATCTACTCCGACTGAGAACTACGAATTCGACTACGACAGTGACTATTGCTTGATTGTTTCAGGTGCTGCCTTTCATGCCCGTCCAAAAATACAAGAGCGAAAACGACTAAAAAATCCTCATCTACGATACCCCATTAATATCTACGAACACGTCCCCTCTGTACAACTGACCCCCATGGTGTTGTCCGCTCAGACCCTGCGGCCCTCGTTACCAGTACTAACTCAGTGTCACAAGCGTGCCCACCCCAAGACTGCACGAAATGTGCTTCCAACGAAGTCTGCGTGCTCGGAGTTGCCTCCCAAGACAACCCCTGCCCCAGCATCACATGTTCTGCCGCGATGGCCAACACCAACACCGACTCGGGTAAGTCGTCATCTGGTACTTCTGCTGGAGCTATTGCCGGAGGAGTTGTTGGAGGTGTTGCCGCCGCCGCCATTTTCGGCTTCTTCGTTTGGTTCTTCTGCTTCTCGAAACGAGCACAGAGAGTCAGAGAAGAGAAAGAATGGATCCCCGTGGTCGGCCAGGACCACGTCACAGACAACCACACCGCCGGGCAGATGCCACCAAACCATCGAAACTCGTCGTCGACGTTTGCCTCGCTGGCCTCTTCGGCCCTGTCTCGAGCATCTAACGTCATTCCCATCGCCTACGTTCCTGGTGTCACGTCACGTGGCCAAATGTCTCGTGACTCGTCCACTGGTGGAACTCTCGGTTCCAATCCGCCCATTCCCAACGTGCCCTGGGAGTACCAGTTTACGCCCGAGGAGCTGCTGCGTCAGTCGCGCCAATCAACCGTATACGGCATTCGAGATTCGGTCAACACAGAGGCTTACCGAGAGTCTCAGGCTTACGTTAGCAGTGCGATGATGACGGCCATTCAGGCTAAGCCCATGCTTGTCAACGTGAAGGACGGCCATGTAACTAACAACGATGGGAGTGCACGTGACTCGGCTCTACGACAGTCATTCATGTCTGGAACCTCCGACGGCTCTGTCTACGAGGTTGCCAGTGCCGAGCGAGTCAATGCCCGGTCCATTCGAATCGGAAAGGCCCAAAGAGTCGGTCTGCAAAGCACATACATCAGTGAAGAGTCGGAGGAGGAAATCGGAGGAGGAGCCAGCAGGACACGAGACTCGACTCATTCTGCAGCTGTGCCCATTGGTCTTGATCGGCCCACTCTTGGACGATCGTTGACCGGAAACAGTGGCTCTGGCGTCTCTGGCGTGAGTCGCAAGTCGGAGGTGCCTCCTCTGCCTGCTGCTTTGGAAGTCTCCTCTTCCGAGGCACCCCAGTTGGACGAGGATATTTTTGCTGGACTCGACATTCCTGTCCAGTTGATCACAACCGACGACGGTCAAGAGTCTCCTTTTGACGATAAGTTTCGACTTTAAGCGTGGAGCGAACCATGTGACGAGTACTCGCACACTTCACGCACATCTAACGATAACATGAACACGTTGATACCCGGCTCGAATACAGGTATTTCGAGTCGCTGTTTTTTTTTTTTGCTGACTGCATTTGCCAGAAAGATGACCGGACACTAAGTAACTACTTTATGAGTTTTTAGATTGCATCGCACGGGGTGCTATAATGAAGTGATTGTAGGCTGTGTAGAACGGAGCTTGAGGGTCTCTACTGGTAGCCCGGGAAGAGTGGTGCTGTAATCAGAATCACCTTGTGAAGTGTACTGTAGTATCCATATTGGAGTGAATAATTTAGAGTTCAATGGGGGATGTTTTCACAAGTCTATAAAACCCTCGAATAAGGAGCGAAACTAGAAGAAATTTCTACAGGAACAGCCTACCACAGTAGCGAGTTGTCAGTAGCACCAACTCGTCCCTATCTCCTTTATCACATCCCTCAGATGGACTCTTCTCACTACCCTCATCTCTCTAGCAACCTTAAATCTCGTGTCTCTCTCCCACATCCAAGAACTGCAGTCTACGAACTCTCTCGATCCTTCTTCAGCATGTCCAAAACGAAATTCCAGCAATTGACCAACAAGGCTCTGGCTGCGTTGGCCCTGGAATGTGGCTTGAGTAAGTACCTCTCGAGAGTGGAGGGTTGATCGAATGAATGAGACGGTCCGCTGGAACCAAGATACCACCTTTTCGATCCATACTATGATACCCTGTTGATGCCGTGCTGGAGGAGGCATTGCGTGAAATACACCAACAAAAGGCTTCAATGGTTGATTCTGCTCAAATTTCACACCCAAACCTGTGTATTCAGTGTCTCTATTCGTGCCATGACCATACCTGAATGACCTACCACAAGACAGGGCGAACATAGCTACAGCCGACTGAACATGACGTTTGTTGTTCATAAATGTGTCACCTACTCTTTTGATCAAAAAAATAATTTACTTTACACACTAACCCAGAACGCTCAGGAACAAAACCTGATCTCCAGGCAACTCTCAGGTCAGTCGTAGACTCTCCTCCAGTCACTCCTCCTAAGTCCTTGCGGATAACATCCATCGATATGGGTGTCAGAAACCTGTCTGTATGCCAAGTGACGTTAGGAAGAACTAGAATCGAGAAGGAGAACGCAGTTACACCTACATCTACTGTTACACAAGACGCAAAAGTGGAGAAGAAAACAAAAGCTACCAAAACGAAGACAAAAGCCAAGGATTCTACAAAGGACACTACACCAGAACCCGACAGTGGTGTTATTTCTCCGACAATCTTATCTGCTGATGTTTCTGTCGCCACTGTTTCCACCTGGAATACACGTGACATTTCTGAATTCTCCACATCTCCAGGAGCCACGCAAGAAGACATTCCATGGGACCTTAGAAACGACTCGTTGCTGGAAGTAGCGTACAATTTCGTGTCACGTGAGCTTCTGGGCGACAATGTACGTAAGAAGCCCCATGTGGTTCTCCTTGAGCGTCAGAGACATCGTTCCCAGGGCAGTCCTTCTGTTTTGGAGTGGGTGTTCCGTGTCAACATGTTTGAGAGCATTCTAGCAGGCACAGTCTACACATACAAACAGAGGTCACATGATAAAAAGGCTGGGACACCCGAGAACATCGATTCTGATTCGCACAATACAGATCTGTTTCGTGTGGATCCACGAATGGTGGCTGATTACTTCATTCGGGGCAAACGAGCCAAGGGCAAGAAGTTCGACATCAAGGCAGAAAAAATTGGAGTTGTTGGCCAATGGCTGGAGGCCGAGTCACATGATCTGCCTGAGTTTGAGAATATGGTGAAAATGCAGGCCGTCGCTGAGAAACCCAAACCAAAGAAGAGCACTCGGAAGAAGAAGGATGAGGAAGCGGAGGTGGTGGAAGAGATAAAACCACTAGCGGAGGAGGAGGTACCACGAGAAACAACTCCCCCGCAACCTATGGAACGTAAATTCATTCCACGCGATCTCAAGAGCATTCCGGGGTTCTCTCCTCTTACGCCTCAACTACATTCTCTGGCTTCTCATCTTGAGGTTATGAGTTCGATTCTGGCAAAGAAGCGATACAACAGTGTCAAGTCGAAGAAGGCGGATGATGTGGCTGACTCGTTGCTCCAGGCTCTAGCATGGTACAACTGGCAATATAACCGAGAGTACTTGAGAGAGCTGCTTGAGAATGAGGATGATGAGAGATGGCTTGAAGTGAATGCCTGGGTTAAGGAAAATGTTGAGTGAACAGCCTAGGTCGTCACGCGAAGGATTCACATGTTCGAAGCCAACAAGTAGGGCATGTGCTGAACAGAGAAGCATCGATGAACATACTCCTACAAATATAGGAAGGCATTGCAATGACATTTGCTTGTTGTTGGTGGTATACTCACGTGATACAGTCAAAAAATTCACGCAATTTTCTGCGCTCAACCTCCATACAGCACCGTAGCATTAGCCTCTGTTACATGGTTTGTTTAGGGGGGGGGGTCCATCGTCCATCAACAAAACAACTTCTCTCGATTCCAAGGAATGAAGCAGCCACATGTTGGAATATCGAGCTGGACGTGGGAAACCGAGCCCACCTTCTCCTTGTTTTTGCTCTTAGTGCAGTTTCTTTTACTTCTAGACCAATGACAGGTGGAATAAGGAGATATCAAAACAGAGATAGATAGCACTAGTCAGGATGGAGTGAATGGTCAACTAGAATGGACAAGAGGGGAGAGGAAACATGGGCTAGCATTATTACCCGTTCAAGAAGTAACGTAAACATGAGATAACTCCTAATTTTGGAAGTATTTGGTATCTTGTAGTGTCTACAGCAGAGTACGTACCGATAGGCCTATATAGCCACATACAACAGTGACGTAACTCTCCTTGAGCTACGAAACCACCACTCACCAGGTAGTCTCATCATCATAGCCAAGCATCTATTGAACCCTACCAGAGCTTCCCGAATTCCTAACGTTGGTCCCGTCTCGCTAGCGTCTATATCGCGACTTCTAGAGCCGTTCCACAACATTGCTCCAAGACGCCAGACCGTCGGCATGCTCTGTACGAGTAGATACACAAACAGCCCAGAATTATTATGCTGTGCCAAAGATACCCTGATTCTCTCCCCGTAACCACGGTAACCTCTTTCCTTGCTTTTCGTGTGCTCCCTGTAGCGGCGGTATACACCCTATACCTGCAGTGTCTCAAGAGCCATTTGGATGATGCAGGGGACATCTTGAGCAGATGTTCATTCCTGAATCATCTGAGTTGACGGGCGCCACTACGGGTTTCTTTTTCGGTTGCCTTTTGTTTTTTCATTCCGCCGAAACGTGACTTGTTTTGATTTCTATTGGTATCTCATGGTTGGTCAAAATGGGTTAGAATTCAGGGGCTCCAAAATACTGCGACTTGTACATGGTGGACCATGTCTAGCACCGCAAATACGCGCAATCTGTACAGGAGTCGTACTCTACGTTCCCAAAAAGGCCATCTTTTGGCTCAGACAGGCAAGATGGATATAATATTCGCGAAAATGCCGACATGTAGTTATACAAGTTTTTTTTATTTTTTTAGCCAGACCGACTGACACCCGTAAAGCAGCACAACGCGGTGTGCAAAAAGAAATATAACCAAAAGTCAGCTCTAGATCAAGTACATACTGTACCGGTGCGAGTAGCGGTGGTGCTCGTTGCCGAAGTCTACCAACCAATTTGCCCCCTAAAGCTGCTCTAAATTGAGTGTGAGCGCCGTTTACACTGTAAACATCTGGGCGAGGAATGACCCGTTTGACGTTCTCAACAGCCCAAACGTGCTACCAGCAATAATAATGACATTCCGGAGAGACTTACACACCTGGGCAGCCAAGCACAGCCTCGTCACGTGCCGGTCTTCTCCCTGACTCAAATGTTTCCCCATTCGTAAACCGTATCGCACGACTCACATTCTCCACAATGCAGGAGGCCACTGTAAGCGTGACGCGCGCTGAGACATTTTGAAACGGCGGCCACGAGCAGAGGACTGATGGGTGAAATTTGCAAAAACAGCGGTAAAATAGTAGCCGGTTAGAATCGCGTGGAATGTACTTGCTGTGATTTTTACTCACTTTTTACTCCCGGTCTCACCACATATTATCGCATCTCCGAGATCTGGCTGCATGTACGCGTCAAACGCTAAGTTTCCGAATACGATATTACGATCGGTCAGAATGGGTGATATGGAGATGTAAAGGCTACAAAGGGTAGATATAAATGATATTTGGACTCCGCAGAAAACATCTATATGTTCATCTCAGCTGTAGCAAGTTGTTCTATGAAAAAATCACCCATCTCAATTTCTCTGTCCAACTCTAAATAAGCACTCCGTTTGACAGTTCTAGACGAGCAATCCAACTTGTCGGGGATGGTCTCTGGAGACTGCAATAGTGGATCTATGACGATGGAAGAAACTCCCTTCCTGAAACTGCCATGTTCGGAGTACTTAACTGCTTTGAAAAAGCTGAAAGACAGAGAATTGGGCAACGTGCTCGATATTCCCACAAACCCCCTTATTTTTCCATGTTACCTGTCTCGTCCCAATCGGGCAAGTCGACACTGTACAGGGAGAAGCTAAAGAGTGCACAGGGTGATAATTATGGGGAGCATTTATTTCGCGTTTCCCATGAGCTATCGAGGTGGAAACTTGACCAGAAGACTCCTCAAGAGACACTGAGTTGATTCCTCTTTTCAAAAATCAAATTCGTTCGTTTTCAGGCTCTTTTTACCACCTCCACTTTTACGCCCCTCCATTTTAACTCCATGCACCGTTCGCTTAATCCGAGCCCTTGATTCAGCATATAAATGTTAGCAGATCCGTTGGAGGAAGCCAAGGTGCAATTTGCAGGTTTTCTGGAGTGACCACATACTACGACACGAACTTTCGAAACTCTTTCAGCCCTTCCCGGACTCTCTACGCCGAACTACACTCCAGGATACACGTTTCTTCGCTTACTAACACGGCTGTGAGCAGAGAGACTCGGTATATTCGACCACCAACTATTTTAAACGACAGATACATTGCCTTATCACATATCTGTGGAGTATCTCAGCTCAGCAATCGACCCTCGATCTTATCTGAATCCCCCATCGTTTGTCTGTTACCTCTTCTTTACCCAAAGAGGAAGTAAAACAAACTAGAACAGTCGCTACTACGATCGACACAATTCTACTCAAACCTCTGAGACACAGTTATCAACCATGATGAACTTATTACGGAGAAAAGACTCGTCAAGAGCAATGACTCTACCCGGCAGAGAAGGTGACCGGGAGCGGGCAGCTGCACTAGAGGAACAGATCAAAATTTTGGCCGAAACAGCTTCTCAGGCTCTAGATAGAGTCGGAGAACTCGAACAGGAGGTTGCTAAGCAGCAGAAGGAGATTGAAGCATATAAGACGGAGGTTGGCGAAAAGCAACTGTGCATTGAACGACTCAGTAATGAGGTCGGGGAACTTATGACCCAATCTGTGACATGCCGTGACTCCAACGACGCTCATGGGACTCCCCAGAAACAATGTGCGAAATGCAAGTCACGTGAACTCATCACTTCAAAGTCAGTAAGCACCCAGACTACAGTAGCAACAACCACCAAGATCAAGGCCGAAGACACCAGAGTCGGTGCACGTGGGCAGACCGATTCAGCTGTCTCACGTGGCGGTCTCTCTCGTGACTCCATCCAGTCTCAGGACTCTCATAACTCTCATGACTCTCATGACTCTCATGACTCTGCGGCCCACATTGAGCACGTGGCTCGAGTGGTTGTTGCAGAGGAGATGACACGGCCCCGCGGAGTGTCTACTTCAACATCAACGACCGCGGACTCTTCGTTTTCGTCGTCTGTGCACTCGTCGCCATCACGTGACTCGTCACGTGACTCGTCCTTTACCGAGTTGTCTGATTTCTCCGACGACGACATTGGAGCTGTTCGAACCGTGATCATGTCGGCTGAACAAATCAAGGCTGTGGACAGAAGCAACCTTGAGCATCACGTGACTCAGCTGCAGCGGTTGCTCAAGAAGAGCCAGTCACGTGACGACGATCTATTCCGGATGCAAAAGTTGGAAGCTGCTCTGGTCGCAGTTTCTCGGGCCAGGGCTGTTTTGAGAAAGGCCTGAGTTGACTTCGGTCTTTCCAAGTCACATGAGCGATACCCTAACAATATTTATAAGTACACTAATTAATGATTTATGACAGATGGGTGGGAGTACGAGTATTTTAGGCGTTTTATATAATCTGTGGTAGCTACCACGTAGCGTCATGCTCGTGTTCCGACAAGTACAAGTAAGAGGTATTTGCGGTCAAGTAGTACCTGATGGAATAATGGGAATTGTTACCTCATTGGTGTCTGTATATACAGACTCCGATCGGAAAATCAGTCAATCAAACGCAGATACTCGAACATGTATTCGTTCAAGTAGATGCCTCTACATTACGATACTACAAGTAGAACATTGCTCTTGTCTATGATCATTGGAACATAAATAGCTTCGTATCATTATGTGCCGATGACGCGACTGACTCGTGGGCAATCGTAGATACGCAATTTGTTTATGGGCGTAGACCAGGACTGAGACTTGTCATTGAGTGTAACTGCGAAGGTCAGAGGCCCTCTTGGTAAAGCCAAGACTATTGATGTAAATAAGTCTCATGGCTACCCGCAGACTTCTCACCAACAGAAGAAGCGTTACAAAAGACGAGGTTGATACCTTACAAGGCATCAGAGATTTTTAAAATCACTGTTTCATACTTCAAATCAAGAGCGATACTAAAATAACAGTACATACTAACATGTACAGTTTTAGCCGAGATATATCCTCCATTTCATTTCATTACATCAGCTGAATCAGCTCTCTCTGCTTTTGTGCTATCCGCCCATCTCCGCATCTATGAAACGATATCACCATCACCAACTTCAGCTCGTCGTATTCACTAATAAATGAGTTCCGATAATGCACCTGGTCGAAAATTATCGGTCACGAAGAGGTCTATATTTTTCTAGTATGTTGTTGACGACGGCTGGCCTTGCGATTATATTGGCCAATGCGCACATTCAAGTATTGCTCGCAGATCAACAGAACCAAGACTCTTGTCTCAATAGATTGATATTGGTCACAGTTCAATCGTCAACTACTGGCAATGATTTCACTTGTAAGTGTTGGTCAGTGCTACAGGTGCTTGTATTTGTCCGCTGATATTGATGTCTGCCCTGACTAAGAAGTAACCATAGACCATCTTGGACATGTAGTCTTGCTTGAAGAGTGAGTCTTCGTATAGTACCCACGCTTAGCTCTGATTTGATATCTCCGTACGCTCCAGGGGCCGAAATCTAGTGCTAAGAACGGGCCAACCCTCACTGGTAACAAGTTCGGGACTCGGCGAGGATAGGTGGACATACCCTGTCTATTGTAGTGAGCACCTCTTCATGTTGGTTCTATAGGTCAACTACCAATTACCAATCCAATACCAACCACAGTACGACGATACAGAACCGTACACCTGAGAAGAGCACACTTGTTTTTGATGCCAAGGTGCTATGTTGGTCCAGACGCGATTCAATCACAAGGGTATTGACTCGACAGCCATTACGAATCAGGGAAGAGTGAAAAAGACAATCAATTGCACGGATAGTTTCCAGAGTCCTTTTCAGCAATTCTCTATAAAATGTTTTATATATTCTTTCTTTTTGGAAGCTTAAACGCTTCGCAAGATCTCAACATGGAGAGAGGAGTGTCAAACGATGTATTATGAAATGAAATGTTTGATGATAATAGTATCATTGTAATCTTCGAGGTCTGAGGATTCCGTATATCTCATTTATTCCCTCAATATACTGTATCTCTAACTGACAACGACAACTGTCATATTTGGGGACGAAGGGGCTTTGCTCCTCATCTCAGACCAGCAATACTTACTTGATCTAGGAATTACTGGTAGCAAAATGACTTTTTCGAAAATCCCAACAACATCACAGCAATTTGAACCCATCTACTATAACGGCACGGTGTTCGACCAAATTGTTCATATTTGTAGTATTTAAACCTTAATACATTTAAGGCCCGGAAATGGAGGAATTAAATGACATCGATTTTCGGAGGTGACTCTGAAAACGCGTACGTACTTTGGCAGCGACGCCCAAAAAAATCCCCGGAGTTTATCTTTTCCGGCTGTTGTCCCCGTGACTAGGACTGCATCTAGCATGCGCTGTGGCGGGTCTACACCGCGACGTGATAATTGCACCAGGCATCGATCTACATTTCTGAAGGAGCCACGCACCCGACAAAGCGATATACGACAGTTCTTATTGACCGTCGATCACGCAAGGAGTGTAAAAAAGGAGTTTACAACGATTTACCACGATTTCCACAGTTACCACGGTTCTCACGTTTCCAGGATTTCCACGGTTTATCACAATTTACGAATTGTACGACCTACTGCGGCACCTGTTCCTTGGAACGTTTCCCGACATACAATTGGAAGATATATGCATCAAGACAATTAGAACTTGGATTCACGCACACACTCACACACACACACACACACACACACACACACTCTCTCTCTCTCTCTCTCTCTCTCTGAGATTGCATTTCGTAACTTCTTCAACCTGGACGGTGACATCCACTCTCTCCACTCCTGTGTTTCTCTGTGTAAGCAACAGAATCCTCCTTTGACTTGTCGAATCACGTCATGGACGAAACGATACACACCCTGATCACATCCCTAGGGTCTATCAAAGACCCATCGACCCGCACAGCAACAGACGCATTCGAGATCCGGACGTCGCACTTTGGGAACCTGGTCACTCTCACGCAAGAGTCACGTAACGCGTTTGTGGCTCTTACCTACTTGTTGCCTCATTTCGACGATGCGCTGGGTCTGTTGGATTCCGCCGAGTTCAAGAAACTGAGCGATACGCGCTGGGAGGTGAAGATGCCACGCGAGGAGTTTCGTCTAGTCGATATCCATGCCATGTTCTGCACTTGTCACGACTACGCTGTTGCCTGCTACGGAGACGATGCGCAGAAACAAATCGCATACTTTCCACGCCATCAACCGTTTGACGAATACGCTGGAGTGCAGGGGATATGTAAGCATTTGGTGGCGGTTTACATTAGGAAGTACTCGGGTTTGTTTCCGTCGTAGGGGTTTTCGACATGGCGATTCCGTTTCAAGAACCCGAGTTGATCAAAAGGTCATTATTTATTTACTGCAGAGCTATAGACAGCAGTCGATGCAGCTGTGTTGCTCTTACTTACGTCTTTCTTAAACCTACTTGAACGTTTGTTAATATCGTGAAAAAGTGTGGGCGTGTACTTAACTAAACTTGGAGATTCATCTAGTGGGCTACTACTTGAGTCACAGATGGCCACGAAGAGTACTAGTATCGGGACACCATACAGTCATTTCTCAGATCAACGGATAGATGCATCAGATCAACGGATTCAGAAGATATGACTGAACATCTAGACTACTTGTAGTCATCTTTCTTTAAATTGATACGAGATACATTGACTGCGACACATCTATATGTTTCCTCATGTCTACCCATACCATACCCAATGATACCGAGCGTTAGCTGACAATACAACTTTTTTCAATCTGACATTTTGCTCAAATTCCACCGAGTACTCTACCATCATAAGTCCCTTGTTCAGTTAATTACACCGTACCTACCGCAGTTCCTTCGCGCCTATTTTCAGCTCCAAGTGACGTGACCTCAGCATGTGGAAGAGTGCCCGATTCTACAACCGCGGATACTTTCGACGTATGCGGGAATTGTGATTGGCCAGAAAGAAAATCCCACAATTGTACTGCTGTTTCTACGGCTTTCGTTGTTCGATGGTTGTTCAATATGAAGGTTCGTCGTATCTGTCTCCGCGCTCATTTATCTGCAGACACTGCAGACACGGCATTGATAAGCCACAGATAAACAGCTATCATACTTGTACGTCTTGGCGGCAAGTTGGTGGTTCGGATACCTGTTCAATATCAGTTTCGAGAAAGAAAATAACAGCTAACATTTCTTTTTCTATTGTACAGAACTGGTATATCTCCTCAGTCACAATTGCACCTCTGATTCCATCTGATATATAGGAAGCCTTTGTTTCAGTTTGGGTTTCCGTGTCTACCTCTCTGATGCGACTTCTGATGCGCGCGTGCGATTGCGGCACAGTCTCCAAGAGAGCCGTGCCTTTCTCTCAGTGACAAACAATGACATACACCCCTGAACGTATATGATCTAAAACGACTAGCTCAGCAACATCTGTATAGACTCTCTGAATTCATCCAAGAATCGTGGCTGCTCCGAAAAACCTTAGTGGGCGTGCCATCCCGGACTCTTAAGCACCCCGGTGCTGCCAGTACATAACAATCTCTTCACTCGTCCTCAACCTCAACCTCAATGTCGCTGTGCAACGACCCAGAGGGGTGGCAGCTGCTGACCAACTACTACGATGTGTCTCCATGCGTTTCGCAGAACGTCTTCTTCATTCTCCCGGGCTCAGTGGCCGCGCTATTCGGTGTTCCAGCTGTTGTCCATCTCTACTTTCAGCCAGGTAAACGTCCTGCCGTTTGGAGCTACACGTTGAAACAGGTGAGTATCTCAGACGAAGGGTACAGCAAAGGTTCCAGCACGAATACTACAATTCCTACTTGTATTGTACAGTCAATGTTCCATCGTGAATCTCCACACAACACCGTCTCATACTAACATAGATTCTTACACTCATTCAACTGTCAATTGCGGTTTCTATCCCCTTTACGACCACGTTCCAACACGATCTGCGCCATTGGTCCCCCCTGGTGCTCGCTTTTGGCTCCATTATCATCTTCTTCATCCAAAAGCTCGAGTTTGAGAAACGGAAACCCTCCAGCACCGTCGCCCTTTCTTTCTGGGGCCTCCAGACTCTCGACTCGGCCATTGTTGTCTATGGGCTTGGTATCAGAGGCTTTGACGAAGCAACCTACGTCGTCTCACTTATCTCAATCGCCTTCCTGGGCCTCTTCAATCTAGTCCTTGAGACCACATACAGCCCATCCTCAGAGCCTGCCTTCTACGATGACTCTAACTTATTCGTCAAACTGACTTACTCCTACGTGAGTCCCATTCTCAGCAAGGGAATCAATTCCACGCTCAAGATCGGAAACGTCCCGAAACCTCCTCTGGAATTGCGAAGTCAGTACATCTTCAGGGAGTTCAGTGAGGTGTGGGGACCGAAGATCGACCTATACACCAAGGCAGCTGCAAAGGACCCCGAAACTGCAAAGTTCCCTTCCCTAATTGCCACCTTCTCCTACATCCATGGTTATGATTATCTCAAGATCTCCCTTCTGCAGGTCTTCTCAATAGTGGTACCTTTTGTCCAGCCTTTGCTACTGAAGCAACTCATTCTGTTTGTCGCGAAATATAACAACGGACTTGCCCCGTTGTCCCAGGGTATTTCCATTGTGTTTGCTGCCGGTTCAATGATGCTGTTAAGAACCATTATTGAAAGCAAAGAAGAACTCATGACCAACAACCTCATGCTGCGAATTGAAACGGCTCTCAGTCAGACTGTCTACGAGAAGGCTCTCAGACTTTCCACCGCAGCCGTTGCCGACACCTCTATTGGAGAGATTGTCAATATTCTATCCAACAGTGTCAAACAGTTGACCAGCGTTGTTTCTTACCTGCATATGATCTGGTCTATCCCCCTTCAAATTACCATTTGTTGGCTGACAATGTACAGCATGATCGGCAACGCCATGTGGGTGGGGATGGCAGCATTGCTCTTGGTTGTTCCCTTCACTGCTTTCATCTCCAAGCTGAAGATGGGTCTGTTTCTGGCCATGCAGGGCATCTGCGAAAGCAGATATACTGTCACCAACAACCTCCTGTCCAACATCAAGTCTGTCAAGCTGTATGGATGGGAACCAACCTTTTATGGCAAAGTAGAGAAGATAAGAAACGAAGAAGAGCTTGCAATCGTGCGAAAAATGTCCTACCTTAGCGCCATTGAAAGCATTCTGATGAGAACTTGCAACAACCTCGCTGCTACCGCTTCCTTCGCCTTCATCGTGTTGTTCCAGCACATCCCTCTTTCAGCTGCCAGTGCCATTCCTGCTCTAAATCTGTTTACGCGTCTTCTTATGCCATTCATGTTTGTTCCCTACATTGTCCAGTTTGGCATCCAGGCCTGGGTTGCCTTGACTAAGATTAATAACTTCCTTGGTCTCACTGAAGTTGAAAAGTTCAACGGACAGGAGCACATCCCAGACTCCTCCAAGTCTGTCCCTGTCAACGTCAATGGGTCCTTTTTTTGGGACAAACAGCTGGAAAAGGCTGCTTTGGAGAACATTTCGTACACCGCCGACAAAGGAGCCACTGTGTGCATCATCGGAAAAGTCGGGGCTGGAAAGACCGCCACTCTGATGGCCACCCTGAATGAGCTGTTTGTCCAGAATGGATCAACATCAGTAACTGGGTCGGTAGCTTACTCATCACAAGTGCCTTGGATTCTCAACTCCACAGTAAAAGACAACATTCTGTTTGGATCCCGTGAAGACCCAATCTTTTACAATCTGGTGATTGAAGCTTGTGCCCTGACCCATGATCTACAGCTTCTTGCCGATGGAGATCAAACAGAGGTCGGAGAGAAAGGTATCTCGTTGTCTGGTGGACAGAAGGCCCGACTTTCAATTGCCCGTGCTGTCTATTCACGTGCTGATGTGCAACTGTACGATGATCCCCTGTCGGCTGTTGACGAGCACGTCCAAGCTCATTTGATCAAAAACGTTTTTGGACCTGGTGGTCTATTGAGTAGCAAGACAGTTGTTGTTGCTACCAACACGGTTAACCTGCTTCGACACTCCTCTACCATTCATCTTATTGAAGACAAGACGTTTGTTGAGTCGGGAGAGTTCTCCGAACTCATGACGAGAGATGGAAAGATCAAAAAGCTGGTGGATGAGTTCCAGACTCAAGCCGGTGAGTCTACCCCGGATGCCAGTAAGGTCATTGATGCCATTGAGGTTGACGACAAGCGTATCGAGTCCGACGCTAAACACCCGTTCTCTCTGCGTAGAGCCTCTTCCATCTCGCACTTTTCAGTGATCACTGTTGCTGACGATGATGCTAGACGTACCAGAGTTGAAGATGAGGTAAAGGAAACAGAGGCTCTAAACTTCGTCGAGCTATACAAAAAGTACTTTGTTGCAGTAGGATACATCAACATGGGGGTGTACCTTGTTCTCTCTCTCGTTGGATCAGCCCTCACTATCGCCAGTACTTACTGGGTGGCCGAGTGGGGCAGCGACAAGATCGACCTGAGTGACATTCAGCTAGTTCTTGGATATTTCTTTATTAGATTTGCCTCTGCACTCTTTGAAGCGTTTGGTGGTCTGGCTTTCTCTACTTTTGGAGCTGTTCGAGCCTCCAAATTGCTTCATGAACGAATGCTCAAGGCGGTCTTGAGAGCTCCAATGTCCTTTTTTGAAGCAACTCCACTGGGTCGCCTGACTACTCGCTTTTCACAGGACATCGCAAAACTCGACTGGATGATGAACAACTTCATCACCCGGCTTGCCACAGCTGTTATCACTTCCTTCAGCAGCCTAGTTCTGATCGTCGGGTCTTCCCCTTCAACTCTAGTAGTCGTACCCCCGGCCCTGTATCTCTACAGAATCATTCAGAAATACTATCTGATCACCTCCCGACAGGTGCGTCGTCTATCAGCTGCAACCATGTCGCCAGTGGTGTCCCATTTCCAGGAAACCCTCAACGGACTTACGACTGTTCGAGCGTTTGGTAAGTCACGGTTTTTTTCTACCAAGTCAACTGCTCACATTGATGTGCGAACAAAGATGGAATTCTTGTCATACTCTCTTCAGCAATGGCTTGGATTGAGACTCACCACAATAGGAGTAGTCATTTTCCTGTCCAGTGGACTTTCTCTTGTCGCTACTTTACACTGGAAACCTCTTTCAGCCGGTTTGGTCGGTCTCGTAATGAGCTACGCGTCCACCATCTCATCATGTCTCAGCGAAGTTGTGAAAGCGGCCATCAGTGTGGAGCAGGAGTCTGTGGTTCTTGAAAGAATCTTCGAGTTCTGTCAAATCGAGCCGGAAGCCCCTCCGAAAGCAAAGGAGCCTGCTGCCCACTGGCCCAATGAGGGCAGAATCACGTTCTCCAACTACTCCACCAAGTACCGGGCCAACTTGGACCCCGTCCTCAACGAGCTCTCATTCAACATCAAACCCCGGGAAAAAGTTGGAGTTGTGGGACGGACTGGAGCCGGAAAGTCCTCTCTCACTATGGCACTGTTCCGTATCATTGAAGCATCAGGCGGATCAATCACCATTGATGGAGAAGAAATATCAAACATTGGACTCCAAGACCTCCGTTCCAGACTGTCGATCATCCCCCAAGATGCTCAGATGTTTGAGGGAACCATCAAGACAAACCTTGACCCTTCGGGCAAGTTCTCCGATACAGAGCTGCTTCAGGTTCTAGAACACGCGTCTTTGAAGAAGTTCGCAGACGACAATGAGGGCCTCGAAACCAAGCTCAGCGACGGCGGCAGCAACTTGTCTCTGGGCCAGAAGCAGCTTATTTGTCTGGGTCGTGCACTTCTGACACCTTCTTCGATTCTGGTTCTGGACGAAGCTACGGCTGCTGTTGACTATGAGACAGACAAGTTGATTCAAAAGACTATCCGTCGCGAGTTCAAGGACCGAACAATTCTTACCATCGCCCATCGACTCAACACTGTTATGGATAGTGATCGGATTCTGGTTCTGGATGCTGGCAACGTGGTTGAGTTTGACACTCCAGAAGAGCTACTAAAGAACAAGAATTCGCTCTTTTACGCCCTGGTGAATGCCAATAACGGTGACAAGCTGGACACATAATTGTAATGATAATAGGCGTTGATTCACAGTACACAGTATGTAGTGTGCTAAAGAGAAGGTCATCTGTATAGACAGTATCTCCAATTATTACCAACTTTCGCGACGGAAATATATAGAAGACGGGCTCTAAGAGTTTTCTCACTTCCCTGCAAACATCAAAAACCCACCCACTGACTTTAGTATTGCCCATATATAGACCTACGCTAGTACCCCTCAAACACGTTTCCATGTCTCGAGTCTGTTTGGTCGTATTTAGACCGAGTATCAGGGCTATAAAATGACCCAAACGACTCTCCTCAGCCTGAGCGTCTCTTGTTTGTGCCTCTATTGACTGACATGGCCGACTTTGAAGATAGCGACTACGACGAGGAGTTCGACGAGGACTACTATGAGGACTTACCTGCAACCAGGCAACAATGCCTAGAACAGATATCTCATCTGGAAGAAGACATCCAGGAAAATAATACCAATAAGAGAAACCTGCTGAAAGAAATCGAAACTCAACCCGGACCTGCTACCGAAGATCAGGACGAGCTGCTATGGTTCATTGAGGACGCTGGAAGACGGATGGATGAGCACATGGAGAATCTCAAGAGACTTCTGAGCAAAGATGAGTGGCAGGGAGAGAAAGAGAAATAGTGCTTTAATGAACTCACATATTCTGTTAATATTCTACGTGTACTGAATGTACGCTTGCTGTTCCTGTACATTACTTTTACGTCGCTGTCAGTACTGCACTCGCACTGTCTGGAAACCACAGTATTCAACTCGTAGCAGAAACTCACACCGTCACAACTTGTACAAGCTATGGCCATTAAATATAAACAATACATTAAATATACCTGTCCTACCAGAGTCTTTTCTACTCGTCTACTCCGTCTTCGGCTTTTTGATCTCCTCCACCTTCTTTTCCTCCTCTCCCTCAGCACCTCTCTTGACGCCTCGGTTCTCCTTGCCCTTGACAAACGATGCCTCATCCTGATCATCGTCAAGCAGCCACAGTGCCACATCTCGTGACGGCTTGGAGTTGACCTCCTCCTCGTGACTCTGGCTCTGGCCACTCATGACCACATTCTGCACATGCTCCTTCTGTTTGGCTCGATCTCGCATTCGCTCTTCGATAGTACCCTTGACCAGCAGACGGTACACAGTCACCTGCCGGGTCTGTCCCAGTCGATGGGCTCGATCCATGGCCTGCGAATCGATCGTAGGGTTCCAGTCGGAATCATAGAAGATGACTGTGTCGGCAGCTGTCAAGTTGATACCCAGACCTCCAGCTCGAGTGGATAGCAAAAACACGAATAGCTCGGGCTTGGTCTGCCAGTCGTTGACGAGATCTCTTCGATCGGACAGCTTGGAGGAACCGTCCAGTCGACAGTAGTTGTACTGCTTGAACGTGAGGTACTCCTCGGCCAGGTCCATCATCTTGGTCATCTGGAAATAGACGAGAACACGGTGACCTCCAGCCTTCAACTCTGCGAGCAGCTCGTCCAGCTTGGCGAGCTTGCCAGAGCACGAGATGAACTTGGACATAGAGGGCATTCGCAGAGTGTTGATGCCGTTGAAGTCCAGCACCCGAGACGGGAACAGATCGTTGGGAGGCAGTGAAACAGACCCAGGAGTCAATGCAGTGACATTGGTGCCCTTTACCTCGGCCTCGGCCTTCTCCAACCACCACAGTTCCTGGCCAAGAGTGAGGGGTGTAAGGGCTCTTCGCACGTCCACGCCACCCATCTTCTCCTCCTGCTCAATCTGGAACCCTCGGTCACGGCAAACAAAGTCCACAGGAGGAGCAACGACGCGAGGGTCATATGCAGGCTCCAGTCGGTGGAGATACGAGTCGTAGAGAGTCTCAAAGACGTCAAATGGAGAAGGAGCAGGTGTGTACCTGGGCAGCGCACCGACGCTGGGAACATCACGATTGACCTCGTTAATAACACGCTCCATGACCCCCATCTGACTGACTCGGCTGACTCGGCCCACTCCTCCTTCCTCCTCGACCACAAGGTCTCTCTTTCGACCCATCCAAGAAGGCTCCCAGATGTTCAGATCGACCTTGAGCAGCTTATTCAAGCTACCGGCCTTGCTGTGTTCTCCAGGAACGTCCAAGAAGCCCCCCTCCCGGTACACGAGCTTGGGGACTTCAAAACTGATGAGGTTTCGATTGCTGCTTCCAATCCAAGTGTCTTTGTCAGAGCCACAGTTGGAAGGGCCAAAGTTATAGGCACTCTTCACATCGGCACGCTCAAACAAGTCGGGATGGTTGCAAACCTTTCGGAATTGCATGACCAGGTTCATCAGACTCTGAGTGTTCTCTTCAGAGCCACTCTGGGCCTTGGCAAGGAGCTCCTGCAGGTTGATCTGAGACTTCAGAATCTTGTACATGACTCGCTGCCGGGTGGTCAGGTTGCAGTACACATCAATCTCAATCTTATCGCCCAGCTCTTGCTGCACGTGCTTCTTAACTCGTCGCAACATGAACGGCTTCAGGATCATATGCAGTCGCTTGAGCTGCTGCTGGTCTAGCTGCGACTTTTCCTTGGCGTGCGACTCAATGTCCTTGGAAAACCATTCGGAAAACTCATCGTGCGAGTCGAAAAGAGAGGGCATGATGAAATGCAACAGCGCCCATAGTTCCTGCATGGAGTTCTGAATGGGAGTACCGGTCAAAAGCAGTCGGTTTCGGCACTGGAAAGCCAGCAGAGACTTCCATCGCGAAGAAGAAGACGACTTGATGGCCTGAGCCTCATCCAGAATCATGTATTGCCACTTCACTCGAGAAAAGTACTGGGCATCAGACACAACGAGCTGATATGAGGTGACCAGCACATGGAACGGCGAATCTCGCGTGTACTTGACATTCTTTCTGTCCCAGAATTTTCGCAAAATCTTTCGATCCTTACCATTACCCCAATAAGGCAACACTTTGAAGTCGGGGACAAACTTGGAGATTTCCTGCTGCCAGTTGTGGAGTGTGGAAGCAGGTGCGATCACAAGATATGGACCCCAGATGTTGTGGGTCTCGGCGAGATAGGCCATGACGGAGATCGACTGGACAGTCTTTCCCAGACCCATTTCGTCAGCAAGAATACCGTTGATACCCTGCTCGTACAGGTTGGCCAGCCAGTTGAGACCCTTAAGCTGGTATTCCTTGAGAGTGCAGTTGAGGAGTTTGGGCTGGGAGAGCTGTAGGTCTCCAAGAGACGTGGGGTTCTGAAAGGCGTCATCCGAGTCAGCTGCAGCGCCAGATTCTGCGGTAGGCGTCTCAGACTGCGCGTCGAACGCCTGGGCCTGCTGCTGGTTCCTTCGCACCTGATTATGAGCATTCTGCATGGCAATCTGCCGCAGCTTGTCGTCATCGTCTTCGTCAAAGTCCAGCTCTGCAGCCCGCTTCGTCTCCACATCGCTGCCACTTTTGGCAATCTTCTCCATGGCCTCGTAGTCCTCGTCACCGTCCTTGGCAGCCTCACCATCTTCCATCTCGTCAGTCTTGATCTTCCGACCGATGAAATGTGAGTATAGCTCTGTCTGGGTGAGCAAGAAATTGAGCTTCCTGGCTTGCCGCTTACTCTCTCGATCTTCCTCGTCCTTCTTGGCCTGGTCAAGAGCCTCCTTCTCGGCCTTCTTTCGCAGATCTCGCTCTTCCTTCTCATTTCTCTTCCAGAAAGAGAGCATCTCTCGCATAGCTCGTCGAGCCTTGCCTTGCATGTCCTTGATAGACTTGTTGGTTCGATATTGCCATCTTCGGGCCTCCTTGGACGCCAAAACAGCTGTTTTTCGGTGGTTGGACTGCTTCACGGCGATCGTTGCAGCCACAGTTTTGTGCACCTTGGCGGCGTCTCGACGTGCCATATCCTTCCAAATGGAATCATAGGCCTGATCAAGCTGCTTGGCAGCAGCCGCAGCTTCCTTAGCCGCCGCATTTTCTTCCCTAATCTCCCTGTCCTTCTCTCGCTGCTCTGCCTGGAGCTGTTTCTTCGTCTTTGGCTTGGGGGCAGGGGAAGCCTCCTTAGAGGAGGTTCCCGCTGCGACAGAAGCAGCAGCTGACGTCTTAGATACGGCCTTGCTTCGCTTCTTTGCCTTCGGAGTGGACACAGAAGAAGTTGTTGCGGCGGCAGCGGCGGCAGCGCCTGCAGCAGAGGAAGCTGACGCTGGTGCTGACGATGTGGAGGACACTGGGGCTGCTGATGATGACGACGATGCAGCAGGACTGGCCGATGTATGTGCGCCGGCCAGGCCACCACCCTCCTCGTACTCCACAAACGCCACACGCACAATCGCCTCCTTTTGCAGGGACGTCTTAGCGCTTTGCTTAACGGCTGCGTAGCGGGCTGCGTTTGTGTACGCCTTGGTTTTCGTGTATTCATCAATCACGACCTTGTCTCGCAACTCTTCCAGCTGCACCACGGCCTCCAGCCGGCTCTGGACCTGCTGTAGAAATCCCGTCTTGGCGTCTGCGTATGCGGGATCATCTGCATCCGCGGGTGGTGACTCCGGTGCAGAGTGATCGCCGTCAACAGACGTGTGACCCTGAATGGGAATCTGGATAGGCCACGGAGCCTGCTGCGGAATCTGCTGCTGCGACATGTAAATGCGGGGAGCGTACATGTCAGGTGGTGCCGGATGACCCTGATGGCCAGGGTGTCCTGGGTGGCCCTGGTGGCCGGGATGAGGACCCTGATGCTGCACCGGGTGAGGAGACATATTGGGATGACCCTGGGGGGACATGTGACCCGGATGCGGTGGTGGGGGGTGTTGATGCTGGGGATGGGGCTGCTGTTTGTGGTACATGGGCGGCGATGTGGAAGAGTGGTGCTGGTGCTGCAGCATGGGAGGTGAGTGCTGCGGCGAGTGGTGTGGATGCGGATGATGCTGGTGATGCTGCGGCAGCATCGGTGGCGACTGCTGTTGAGGATGCTGAGGATGCTGGGGGTGCTGCTGCTGCATGTAGTGCTGCTCGTGGCCCATCATGGGAGGCCCCGGCATGGTGTGTCCATTCTGAGGCGAATGCTGTGGCGAGATGTGCGGTGCCTGATGCGTCTGGTGGGGGGAGAGATGTGGTGGTGGTGGTGGATGGTGCAGAGCAGGAGGGGGCTGTTGCTGTAGTGGTGACTGCTGTTGTAGCGGTGGGGCCGGTGGCTGCTGAGAGGCATCCGATGCACGTCGTTCTCCACCAGAGAGAATCGATGAAATGGACATAGCCCCGCGGTTCTGTGTTAGTTAGATCGGTATCGTAGAGATGGCATGCGACATGGTTGATGAGAAGTGAGACATGGTAAACGGGATAGGGGAGCTGTGATAGGGCAGGACCGGAGATGGAGATACTAACGTGTCGGATCCAGCCTCAGGATGCTTGATGGAGATGTATACGGCGATGACAGCCTCGTCAGCAAAGAGATCACCGTTTCCATATCACTTTCTATCACAGGCGGCACGAACGGTATCCCCATCGACCGTGGCAGAAGCATGATCGAGACACTTCACGGATGCAGAATCCCTTCAATGCCATCGGCTTCTCATCTTCGCGGCCCCGTTCAGGTCTTGTGGCATGTCACCGTGGTGCTACCCGGTTGACATAAGCAGCGGTGTGGGTGTGTGGCAATGGCAACAAGACAGAATCGAAACCGATCGGCTCGCCAAGGGCACCATCGTGCTCGCCGAGTCCCACCAAGTTGATTGCATCTTCTCCCGTCGCCCACAAACGTCTGTGGCAAAAAATACCATGTCTCCCTCCCTCGCCCCAAACCTCCCTCCTCGTAAGCCCGTATTCAGCCATCGCCAACTGGTAATACTCACGGTCTCATCGTGGTTGTTGTTATGGCCATTCATGGCTGTTTTCGTTGCTTGTCTTTTTGTGTCTGTCGTTCCGCGTCTTTGTGTCGTGGCTTGGTGGTGATGGATGGAGTCAACAATAAATTGTGCAGTGCTGTTGCGTTGGTCTCTTCCTGCCTCCAATCGAACTCGAGCGCAGCGAGAGTTCGAAGAAAAAAACCTGCCCGCTGTTTCTGGAGGTGCACCGCAACGAGAAGAGGAGTGGGGTGGGAAAATGGGAAAAATATGGGGGAAAGGGGAGGAGGTGAAAAGGGCCAGGTTGATGATTACCAAAAAAAAACTTGGTATTTATAAAAACCCCCCTTCATTTGTCAAATACCACTCCGCCCCATCTGCACCCTCCCTTCTTCCTCAGGGTTCCCAATAGTCTATCTATCGTATGCACCTGTGCTCCACCTTCCGGGGGTGTAGCAGAAAAAGCCGGATACAGCTCACACAATAAGGGGCAAAATCGAGCGGGCATGGAACAAGATGGGGATATTTGTGATGACTAATCCGACTTTTTAGAATATCCCACAGCCATCCATCTGCACCCTCTCTTCGCGCCTTCTTCCACTTTCCCAATCGCATGCTTCATGCGCTCGACTTTGACGTAATACTATGTAATGAAGTAGCTCTGGGTGAAGGTGGAAGTCTCCGAGAAATGGTGGGATAAACGTATGGAAATGCTGGCTGTAAAGATCTTTCTGTGGTTGTAATTGATACCGTTTTACTTTTTCTTGCTACAATTCAACTTTGCGGTGGCTCTTCCGCCCTACAAGTACCTGGTCATCACCGCAATGTCGAGCTCAGGACGGAAGACGTCTAACTCTCTCGATACTTGATATATGGAGACGGGGGTGCAGTCAATGTGCTCGGCTCGTCGCAAGGAAGCTGTTGGTGCCACTTTCGGCGCAAGTAGGCCCACATTAGCCAACCCCTTGACAGCCGACCGGGTTAGTTTTTAGCTCACGTTATTTCCACGCGTTGGGTGCAACCCTCAAACGTTTTCGCTGCATTATTCGAAAACCATCGTGATGATTGATTTACGGATACCGGCCTGGATTAATAATAATTGACGGCGACGAGCTATGATGATTATTAGGTAGTTAGGAAATGAAAAGCGGAAAAAGACGTGCGAGGGAAGCGGTATAAATAGTAGGCGGTTGCCGGCGAGCAAACCCATTAACAACCGGGTCTAAACCCTGCCTCTGTCATGTTCAACAAGATGGTCCTGTATATATACTGGCTTGCCCCTCATTCAGCCCAGTCCACACGTTCCGTTGCTGCCAAAGTGAAACTTTATGACGAGATGTTGGTGCCACTTGGAGGTGGTTTAGTTGATTAGGAGCAATTTTCGAAACCCAAATGAGACTGCAAAATCACGTGTTTTCCAACTATCGGCATTTCGACTCATTTTGATGAATGAAAACACACTCCATCGTACTCCATCGCGAGCACTTCTCACAACCACTCGCCACGATGTACAGTAACAACGATGTTGGTGCAAACAAGGTTGGCGAGGACTTGGGTTGGGTTGGGACGACTACAGTTCTGGGTTGGGGTTGAAATACGACATAATAACTGCTGAAGAGGGCACAGCCCAACAGGTGAAACAGCCAATGGAAGTACGCGATGATTATCCGAACGTGGGAAATAACTTCAAAGACGATCCGAGGTTGGTAAAATGTCGTTGGAGGGTTTTTCAAAGGCCTTTGGAAGGTTTTTCCAAGGGTCTTATGCCATTCGAAGGTCGGCTGAGAGACAACTACGATAGAGTGACCTTGAAGCTATATTGTAGTTGAACTCAGCCGTAGTGTTTGTTATAATATAACAACCTTTAGTTGAGTATACAAGAACCCCACGAGAGTACTCCATTGTCGAGGGTACAATCATATTAAACACCCAAAAGCCGTTATAAAACACTCGAGAAATCACATAAACACTCTAGAACTCTCATTTCCAACCAAGTATTGTACAAAACGCCTAATATCACCATGGAATACAACCGTCCAAATCTCAGCCTTACACGTTGCACTTACATCTGATAACTTTAGTATAGACGCCCAAAGTCGGTCAATACGAACAACAAACAAGACAAACGTTGGGCCCGATGCATAAAAGGGGTCACGTGATCCACCAGAGCCCGCCACCCCCCCTCCTCTCCAGTATTTACCTCATGCGCCAGGTATTGCTCGCTTACTAAGCGTTGATAAAGTTCACATCTATCTGCACCCTCCTCCTCAGTTCACCAGTTATTGTAACAAGAGACGTTGCAATTGGAGCGACACAAACGGAACGGGGAAAAGGTATCACGTGACCGTATTACTGACATCATATCCACACGGCGACAACCCTAACTCCTGCGGCTTTCGACTCGCAAATTACACGAATCTACAGTACCCAGTGTCACCATTGCGAGGGTACATGACCAGGTGACAACAAAAAGAGGTCTTTCGATAAAACAGCAACTTTTGGGGGCACATTCCGAAAGATTGGATCACGTGACCTACTAAAACTACATTGTGAGTGACGGCAAGATAATGGAGAGACTCTCCACCCTACAATATGTCTAGACGGATTACCACTGTCTAGAAAGAGATGACTGGTTATGGCTAATATCATTCAATTTGGGAGCTTGTGGAGATGATGTTACTTTTTGAAGTTCTTCAATAACTTCATTTTTGAGCGATGTGTGATATTTCTGGGTTTTGTTCATGTTTGAAACCTCTACATGTGGCCAAGCAGTTTGTTTACGTTATCGCGTCAATTTTTCTTCGCATATGAATGTTCCTGAAGCCATTCTTCTATTGCGACTAACCCAGCTCTGATCTATATCAGTACAAGTACATACGTGATATATCACGAGACACATCTTCTGCAGAACGCACGTTCCTCCCATTAATTTCTTCTACAATGGTCACCACTCCGCGTGACTCGTTTGATTCTCTGATATCAGAAAACAGCAATCCTCAGATCACAGAACCCGAACCCCCATCTTCACCCAGAAACGTCTTCAGGCCATTCACAGACACAATCAACAGAGCACAAGCCCTTGCCTCTGCTGCTCTTACAGACGACTCTGAATTCACATACAACCACAACATCTTCTACGATGACAAAACTACTATTGATTGGATGCACGAGTTTGCAAAAGAACGTCAGCAGCGAAGAATAGCCTGGGATACACCTGGAGTTCGAGGCCAGGCGCTACGATTAGTCAACACTAGTCGCCGATGGATTATCTTGATTGGTACAGGTATTGCGGTTGGTTTGATTGCTGCGTGTATCGACATCACTAGTCATTGGATCGCGGATGTAAGATTGGGCTATTGCCAGAACGCTTTCTACTTGTCACGTGACTCCTGCTGTTCTGGTATTGCAACAAACGACCCTTGCCCCGGTTGGATTGAGTGGAGCTCGTCGTATTTTCTGCGGTACATGATGTACACTTTCATCTGTGTCATTTGTGCAACTTCTGCGTCTGTGTTGGTCATCACATACTCTCCACACTCAAAGCTGTCTGGTATTTCGGAAATCAAGACAATTCTGGCAGGGTACATTATCAAGGGCTTCATGGGCAAGTGGACTTTACTAATCAAGTCTCTCGGACTGGGGCTAGCTGTTGGATCTGGTGTTTGGGTTGGAAAAGAGGGTCCCTTGGTACACGTGGCCTGCTGTTGTGCGAACCTGCTCATTAGATACACGTCACGTGAGCATAACGAGGCCCAGAAGCGTGAGATTCTGTCAGCAGCGGCCGCAGCGGGTATTTCTGTTGCTTTCGGATCTCCCATTGGAGGTGTTCTCTTCTCCCTAGAGCAAGTATCGTACTACTTCCCTGACAAGACCATGTGGCACAGTTTTGTGTGCGCAATGATTGCCGCTGTGACTCTGCAGTTCGTGAACCCTTTTAGAACAGGTAAGCTTGTGCTGTTCCAAGTCGAGTACGATCGGCTCTGGCACCGATTCGAGCTTGTGCCCTTCGCCATTCTGGGTATTTTTGGAGGTCTCTACGGAGCTTACTTCATCAAGCTTAACCTCAAATATGCTAAAATGCGCAAGACCACCTTCATCAAAAACTTTCCCATTCTGGAAGTTGCCATTCTGGCTCTCATCACAGGTCTCATCAACTACCCCAATGTCTACATGCGACTCCAGCCCTCTGTTCTTCTGTCCTATCTCTTCCAGGAATGCAACGCTTCTACTCCAGAAGCTCTTTGTAACCTTGACAACTGGTCTCAGTCGGTGGCGCTTCTACTGTCAGCTTGTGGCCTAGGCTTCCTTCTTGCTTCTTATTCTTTTGGAGTGGCGCTACCTGCTGGAATCATCATCCCCAGTATGTGTATTGGGGCTCTCTTTGGTCGTGCAGTCGGTATTCTCATGGCTACATGGCATGAAACAAATCGCGACTTTTTCCTCTTTGCCAGCTGTCCGGCTGAAGGTACATGTGTCACTCCTGGTGTGTATGCCGTTGTTGGTGCCGCCTCTGCTCTGGGAGGTGTTACAAGACTTACTATCAGTATTGTTGTCATCACCTTCGAGCTCACTGGAGCTCTAAACTACGTGCTTCCCATTATGGCTGGTGTAATGGTCAGTAAATGGGTTGGAGACGCCATTGGAGGTAAGAGGGGTATCTACGAAAGCTGGATCCATGTGCTGAATTTACCATATCTCGACAACAAGGACGACGAACCTGTTCCTGTTGTCTATGTGAAGGAGTTTATGACCAGCATTGATGATCTTGTGGTTATTCAGACCAACTCGAGTGACCACGTCAACACAATCGACTCTCTCCAATCGACTATTTCATCTTGCACCTTCCAGGGCTTCCCCATCGTAAACCAAGATACTATTCTTCAGGGGTACATTTTCCGATCAGAGCTGAAGTTCAGTATCGATAAAGCTCTTTTGTTTGATCACCTCACTGGTGAGACAGAGTGCGTATTTGAATCTCGGGATGCTGAAGACTCTTCATGTCTTCTTCTTCGTGAGTGGGTTGTTCAAGCTCCTCCCACAGTCACTTCTTCAGCTACTCTCCAGCTAGTGTCTAACATGTTCTTCAAGCTGGGTCTGCGGTACATTTGTGTGGTTGACAAGGGAAAGTTGGTTGGATTGATCACCAAGGAAGATTTGTGGCGACTGTTCAATTCGGATCGACTGAAGACCATGGCCGTCCCGATTCTGGGAACTGTTAATGATGAGAGTAGGCAGGGACTGTTGCATGATGACGTTTAAAGCATGCATGCTAGTCGCCGAAGTTCTCGAACGGGCTACCACTCGTGTTGCCACGATATTACTAGACTGTGACATGAACCAATTGACTGACCATAGATACAGGTCTCAGAGACAGGTTACTCACACAATCGAATGAAACACGTAGTAATAGACAAAAAAAAAAAAAAAAAAAAAAAAAAACATCCAATCGTGTGCGTGTAAGTTACAGTTCTCTGTCAATTGGTCAGGTAGGCACTCTTTGCGTCTATACTATTCATTAGAATGATTATTACTATGTACATTACCTGAGGTCTATGCTTTTATACCTATCTGATGCGTCCCATCGTCATTTCTTCCACTTCAACGGCTTGTTCCACTCTCGCTCGCATTGCTGCAGAAACTCGACCATGTTGAAACTAGTTTGAGATCTCAGTCTGTGGTAACTAGGAGGAGTGGAAATGTAGAGCTTGGTAGCAACATGTTGGATGGCGTCAGCGACAACATAGGATCGAATATATGACTTGGAGTTTTTCCGAAGCATGTTGAGGATGCGTACACCCGACCCTGGATCTTTGGGGCTCTTGATGGCACCCCACTTGATTGTTTCAAATTGAAAATAGGGTGAAGAGAAGACTTGGTTGTATGAAGGGGGCTGCACTGGGTTGGCTGAAGGGAAATCTGAGCTCTCAAGCACACCAGAGTCGTTAGAAAAACCAGAGTTGGGCTCTTTGATAAGAGGTTCGGACGCAGATAAAGGCTCCATCTCTGAAGCAAACGCGGACTCTTCTTCTTCGACCAGACCTTTTCCTGTCTTGCTAATCCGGTCATTGATCCGCTCCACAATAGCTTCACTCTGCTGAACAATATCGGCAAACTCCTTGTCGAAGTCTAGAGAGATGTATCGATCACGTGAAAAAAGTCTCGCCAACCCCCGCAGAAACACCTCTACCTCCGGTTGAGTCAGCGCACAGATTTGCATCATTTCCAGATTGTACTGGTACCAAGCCATAGATGCATAGAGACCACGCTTATGTAGTTCGTTCAGGTACCTCAGAGTCACGTGAACGGGCAGTCGAGTTGTAGGCTCTTCACGTGTTTCATTGAACTTGCTGATATAATTAGCAAACCGTTCCACGTGCAGATGATAACGCAAGCCCTCAGTCATCAAGCCGGAGACATCAGAGGTTGTTTTCTTGGGGAAAATAGACAGTCGGCCTCGGTACAAAGCTGCAGACAGAAACTCGCCAGCAGTAATGTGATTAGATGTCTCCGTATCCCGGGCCATTATTTCTGCCAGGTAGAGAGCTCCTCTGAAGTCTCCATTTTTGAGCAGTCTTTGGAACGCCTGAATGTAAAACTCTCTGGTCATTTGATCACGGGCCTTTAGAACCTTGATCATGCTCATGATAGCACGAGAATTCCTTGTTCTGCACCAGTGACTGAAAAAGGTCGTATGTAATGAAATGTAGGAGCCGTACTGCTTATGCAAGTCATCGATGACATCTAGCGCGTCTGCTGGATCCATATCACGAGTAAAGAGTCGCACCAAATGCTGTCCGATCTCCTCGGTCGCCGAAAAGCCTTCATTTAACATAGCTTCGACTAAAGCATTGGCATGAGCCAGTTCGTTGGTCATCAAAGTCGCTTCTATCCAAATGGCTTGTGATGGGGGCAGTTTCCGGATCTTCGTTCGCAATTGTTTGATTGTAGGAGCCTTTCCTCGGGAAATTACGTTTCCCCAGAAGTTGGCAGATAGGCCTCTTAGCAACCGCTCGTGACTAATGTACCACTCAAGTGGTTCGTTGTGAGATAGATGGAGGTAGATCTTCTCCCACAGATGGTGTTGCTTCTCGACGTAGGAAGAAGAGAGGAGTGAGGTGGAGAATATCATCACGTAGGCAGATACTAAGTGGGTCAGATCGGGGCTGGTTTCCAGAAGATGCAGCAAGTCGTTTGGACGGTCGTAGAAGAACCCCTTTAGTTGCGAAGACAGCTTCATGTGACCAAGCTTGCGGATTTTGTTTTTGTCTCCCCCCTCATTCTTGTTCGTTGAAACCAAGTCCTCCACAGACGTTGCGTGTCCCTGTTCCTTGCCTAACTTCACCGCCGTGCTGAGAAAGAAGGGTAAAATGTTCTTCCTCGTATCCACCAATGAGTTTTGCTTCATTAGATATCTGAACAATGGCAGTTGTTTGCCTCCACAGATCTCAATACACGCCTGTTGAAGAATCTCAAACAGGTCTTTCTCTGTATGCGCTCGTTCGATAAGGTAATGGAGGGTGATCTGAGCTCCTTGATAGGCTTGTGATGCGATTAGTTGAAGAAGACATGACAGAAGGATATCTGGTGGTTGGGTAATGCAAAAGTGTTCCACGTGATCTCTTAACTTAGATGGGGAGGCTGAGTCAATGTCGATCAGGTCAGAAGATGCTAGTTGTTGAGATGAGGTAAGAGGAGCTGTATTCAGCAACTGCTGAAGGGCTGTTGGAAGTGCCGAGTCAGCCGGGCGAGATGATGAGTCCACCACAGAGGGATTAGAATCACTGATAAACGAATCCTGGAAACTTTTGTTTTGGACTGTAGATTCTTGGTTATTCAAAATCTCACTCATGGTGCTGACGTCCCCGCGACGAGCCTTCTTCGTCTTGGTCTTGGTCTTGATAGCATTCTTTCCACCACTCGTCTTCTGAACAAGCTTGTTCACCACATGATTGAAATCCTCCACTGTCGTCAGAGTAGGAAGCTCAACTGCTTTGGAACGCTTTCCCCCTGTATGCAAAAAATTTGAAAAGTTCAGTGGCAAAGCCATAGACATATTGGGAGCCACATGACGGTACCGGCAATCACGTGACACTCCAGGCCGTATGCGTTTAATTACGCGAATACCTCGGATCATGACACGATCACAATGTCGAAAATATATGTCGATTTTAGTTGTGGTATGAGTCCTAGTAATATTTGATGCAGAAATGATAAGGTTGTGCATGAGACGTGCATGCAGAGGCAAGGCACGTGATGAAGAGGGACTTGAGAGACTGAATGTCACATGTTGTCACGTGATCCTTGTCTGAGTACTATATCCTATAGTACGAGTAAGATACTTGTGCAGTACTGTACCTCCATCCTGTGATCATTGCACTTCTGCATTATCCATATTTTTCCGATGGTTTCAGAATGTAAGTCACGTGATATGTCATGTGATCAGTCGGGGCTATTGTTTTTTTTGTGGGGGCCTTCACCTCGCGTGAGACTTGTGAGGGACATGCATGATAGAGGCATGATTATAAAACGCGGAAATTGGATGAGCTTGGTAACTGACCGATGGGTCACGTGATCAAAGTCCAAACCACTCCCGTGAGATAATAAACACGAGTCTAAACTAATCCGATTGTTCCGGTTGTATTTGGTGTCATAACCATCATTTCAGCAACTCCTCTTCTGACTAACCCGGATGTGCCATAGCAACAGCATTGGTCTGTTTGGGAAAAGAAGAAATATACCATGCAATGCAACGCCACGCGAAGAACATGCTGATATGTCGCTTAACCGTTTTTTCCGGAATTTTCGCGCAGTTACAGCTTGAACGGTTTTTTGAAAATCTTGAACCTTTTCCGTACCAACCATTATATAAGCTGTAGATCGTTCAGACAATGTAAATCGAATCTCCAGGAAAATATCTCCACAATGATACCCTATATATGCCTGTTTGGAGCCTTGCTTCCCCACATTCCGTAGTCTTAAGTATTTCGAGGCTTGGAAGTATTTAGTGAAAGTTAGTTGTGGGACCAGGATGTCTGTGGAATGCTCAACAATGGTTTCATCACCTCCAAATTCTTTCTGGATACTCCCAAAGTTTGGTTTAGTAGGTTCAAGTTCTCAGTTGCTTTCTAGGATCGTTCTCAAAGTGACAGTACGGATATCTGATACATTCTTGAACTGCGACATTTACGGCACTATACAGCAAGGCAGTAGTCTGATTTGGTCAATATACACTCCAGGCGATTGAAAAAGGTGTCATAAGAATCGCCGTGGCAAATTTACCAAGATATTCCCATAATATTCTCGATCACGTGACTTCCTAGCCGTCAAGCAAAAACCGGAGTTTACGGACTTACTCTCTTCCCAATTATAGCGTCCCCTTAGTTTAACCTTAGTGGCGATTTTCTTCCCTTCACCAGACATTCACACACCTGTTCCCAGGCACCTTGAACGAGCTACACAACAGGGCTGATCGCGTGTAACTAACGACAGCGCAACCACTGACCGCGAAGCTGATCACGTCATCCACGGCCAATCTTTTAGGGCAGTTTTAAGCCACGACACACCACAAGAAGCTACACAAAGTGACTCAAGCGGCACTTACGCACTCGAAAAGTGCTATAGAGCGATACATTCTGCACTTATACGTGATTCATCTACTCACTGACAAGATATTAGCGACTCCCCCATCTCTTTCCGACAAGTTTTGACCTGTTTGGATTGATTCAACAGCAAGCGAAACAGAACGATACACCCAAAAGACACACAAGTACATTACAGGTCACGTGGCGGGTATAACTAGTTACAGCACGTGATTCAACCCATTTTCTTCACGTGGAACCGGAACGAGTCATTAGCTGTTCTGACCACATACACACCGGCTTGATCGGCTTAAAGATAACACTCTTCATATCCCATTCATTCACGTGACTTTAGTCATTCACGTGACACACTACACACGACTCTAAGCGACTACCTAATCATGCGACATTCCATCGACACACCTGCAGACGACTATTCCGATTCGGAGTTGCTTTCGGACTCCAACATGGATATGGATGCCGACGAGCTGGACGCAGAGATTCTCGATGGTCTTGGAAACGGCAAGAAGCTTGGCATGAGCAAGCCCAAGAACCAGAAGAAGGCGAAAAAGTCAGTAAAGATAGAAGTGCCAGCTGCATCGGACGAATCACCTGCATACGACGAGTCCAGTCCCTATGGCGGACAGGGCCTGGACTATGAGGGAGGAGACCAGTCACGAGATGCATCAGGAGAGAACCTCACGTCGTCACAAGACCAGCCGAAGACGGTGCACTGGCCCGAGGAGGACATTGACGAGAATTATCCCGACGCCATTCCTCTCAAGGAGGTCAAGAAACCCAAGAAAAATACTCTCAAAAGTATCATCAAAAAGGGCAAGTCCAAATTCGGAGGTAACTCATCCGAAGACTCTTCTTCATACTCTCTTCTGGGTGGAGGACGACGATCCTCACTTTCTGGAGGACGTTCTGGTCGTTACAACAAGGTCAACTTCAACCGGTTCGCTACAGACTCCTCAGATGAAGACTCCGACGCCGATTCGGACTTTGGACAGATCTCTATTGACGTGGAGAATCGCCCCAGACGAAAGGTGCGTCATCAGAATACGAAGACGCTCAACCTGCTGTTGTTTGCGCTTCTGATCATTGCAGTGTACTTCATTCTGACACTCACCTTTGGTGGAAACACGGGTCCCAAGGGCAGACCAAGCACGTACAAGTCGCGTGAAAAAATTCTGCTAAATAATGGAACCCATGACTTCCATCCGACTACTCTGGTTATCAGTTTGGATGGATTCCATCCCCATTACATTTCGCCAGAGCTCACTCCTCATCTGGATAATCTCATGCGAAAGGAGAGCGGTGCTCCCTACATGCTGCCTTCTTTCCCCACTTCGACGTTCCCTAACCACTGGACACTCATCACTGGCTTGTATCCTTCTTCTCATGGAATTGTTGGCAACACGTTTTTCGACCCCGATCTGAACAAGCAGTTTGTGAACACGGACCCCAGTAGGTCGCGTGACGTTGCGTTCTGGGGTGGCGAACCCATCTGGCAGACACTTTCCTACCAGAATGTTTCCACTGCCGTCCACATGTGGCCTGGAAGTGAAGCCAACTGGCTTCCTGAGGATGCTCCATTAATTGTTGACCCCTTCAACCAGACAGAAGCTTTGTACAAGAAGCTTGATCGACTTACGGAGTGGTTGGATCGACCTATCCAAACCAGACCGGAACTCATGCTCACTTATGTTCCTACAGTTGATACTCTTGGTCATGTTCATGGCATTTCTGGGTCTGAATTGGAGCAAGGCATTCATGAGGTTGACTTGTTGGTGGGAGCTTTCCGAGAGGCTCTTGACAACCGAAACCTCACTGATGTTGTCAACCTGGTTGTTCTGTCGGATCACGGTATGGCCCCTACCTCTGATGAGCGGCTCATCTTTTTGGACGATCTCATTGACGTGGGTCAGATTGATCACCTTGACGGCTGGCCACTGGTTGGTCTTCGGCCTGGTAACAACATGACTGAGTCGGAGTTGTTTAACATTCTCAAGAAGCAGGAGCCCGAGAACGAGTCTTGGAAAGTTTACACTCGAAAGAACCTTCCTGCTCGATGGAACTTTGGTGGAAAGACTGGGGGACGGTACCAGAACCGTCTTGCTCCTGTTTGGATTATTCCCAAGACTGGCTGGAGTATTCTTACTCATGATGATTACGCCAAAATGGACAACTCATACCAACCCCATGGCACACATGGATATGACAACCGGGACATTTTGATGCGTGCTCTCTTCCTGGGATCCGGCCCCTACTTCCCTGATTTCAAGTTTGAGCCTTTCTCCAATGTGAACGTGTACTCCATTCTGTGCGATACTCTGCATGTGTATCCTTCCAAGAACGATGCTCAGCCTCTGACTAAGGCCTTGGTTCGGCTTAATGACGACTGGCAGGACGACAGTGATCTGTACCCCGGTGTGGACTTTTCCACTTCTGTCGTGGAGGGTTCTACCTACGATGAGTTGTACAGAACTGAGGGACATGCCAACGGCAGTGTCCCCACCAATGGCCAGGAGCCCAGCAGTCAGAAGGGAGGAAAGAAGCAGAGCTGGGCTGATTATCTGAAGGGCCAGACAAACGAGGCCATCGACTGGCTTGCCGACAAATGGGCAGGTATTGTCGGACATGACTAGTGGGCGTGCTCGGGTATATAGTGACAATAACATGTATTTATGACACCATTATGGTGAGCCAATGGTTGTTTGTAGGGTCCATCTCACTCGTCCACTTGTTGGCCGCTGCTGCGAGGATCTAGTGGAGATATATCACTATGCGTGATAACAAACCTTGCAGTGGAGTGCATATTTGAGGTGGTATGATGATCTGACGAGGGATTTAACTGGGTATCTGTCTAACAGGTCCTGCTGATGGTTTTTCATTTGTAAAGCTATTCACTGTTCATCTCGGGGCTGAGTTCTTGGTTTTCCCCAGTTAACTAACTGGTCTCTCAGCATTTCGTTCCTCAAAGTTAAGCTTGATCCAGCTAGCGCGCCATTAAGAGAGATATATATACCGGAGAAGTCTGCAAGTGGCTCGGACTTAGACTGTTCCTGTGCTGCAACATGGAGGGCGACAAAAACAAGTACATTGGCCTGGCGCTGGCCATGTCGTCTTCATTGGCGATAGGAACCTCCTTCATCATCACCAAAAAAGGACTGATGGCTTCCTCGGCACACTCTTCCGATCCGAGCGACTCCTACGCCTACCTGAGAACCCCGGTATGGTGGGCTGGTATCATCACTATGGCTGTGGGTGAGATTGCCAATTTTGCAGCATACACATTTGCCCCTGCCGTTCTCGTCACGCCGCTAGGAGCGCTTTCGGTGATCATTGGAGCTGTTCTGGCGTCCTTCTTCCTCAACGAGAGGCTCGGTTTTCTTGGATCTGTGGGCTGTGCTATTTGCTTGGTTGGATCTCTGATGATCGTACTCCATGCACCAGCCGATAAAGACGTACAGACTGTGGACGAGATTCTCAATTACGCGGTTCAACCGGGGTTTCTGGTCTACGTGTGTATGGTGGCAATATTTGCAGTCTTCATGATCTACCGAGTAGCGCCACGGCTGGGAAGAACCAACCCGATGATCTACATCTCAATCTGCTCGTCTGTGGGCTCCATATCTGTTATGAGCATCAAGGCCTTTGGAATCGCCCTCAAGCTGTCTCTAGAAGGAAACAACCAGTTCACACACCCCTCGACATACCTGTTTCTATTGGTAGTGGCCATCTGCATCGTCACCCAGATGAATTACTTCAACAAGGCTCTCGATCAGTTTGACACTAACATCGTTAACCCGCTCTATTACGTCACATTCACCACATGCACTCTAGCAGCTTCGTTCATTCTCTTCCAGGGCTTCAATACAAGTTCACGAGTTGATTCATTCTGGTTAATAGCAGGTTTTCTCATCATATTTGCAGGTGTTTATCTCTTGAACGTGTCTAAACAAAACAATATTACATCGTCGCAAGACCAGAGATCTACTGATGAGGAGTCGGTGGCAATGACACTATTGAACCATCAAGATGAAGATGATGGATTTGATGTTGACGATGACGATACTGAAATTCTGAGAAACTATTAGGTTCTTCAAATTACTCACTTGTTGTCATTATACATTAATCTATTACTGTCGTCACTATCATATGGTGTCCAGACACCACCCGCTAAGCCCACGACTTAACGTCTTCTGTCGAACTCCCGTTTCAACAGCACCTGCAGGTTCTTCACACTCAACACTAGACACTGCAGATCAATCTCGTCTACTTCCTGGTCCGCAATCTCCAGCAGATCGTCAATCTTGAAATCAACAGTCACCACGGGATCACTTCGGCCCTTCATCACCAGAGCGAGAACAAAAGTTCCCGGTGCTGGGGAAGCAATGTAAAACACCAGAGAGGGGCCAACCCGGTTAAGAGGCAGGGAACAGGTCAGAATGACACCATCTCGCATCAACTGCGTGACGTTGTACTTCTTGACCAGTCCCTCGGAGTACGAGGAAGTGCTTCCTGCGGGGTTCAGAAGAGGATTGGGTGTCGTGGCGGTCGTAGTATCGTCCTGCACAATCTTTCTGTCCTTCTTTGAACCAGTGTGGGATCGCACGTTGTTGAGGTACGACCTGTATGTGTCTAGCTGGCTTCGAAGGTACTCGTTCTGCTCAGTGATCACTCGGTAGACAGTCTCCAGAGAAACGGCCTCCTGCTCCACAGAATCCTGCAGTGAGCCCAGCTGGCTCAGTTCGTTTTCAATTTCAGAAACAAGCACAAATTTGTCGTCATCTGCGTACTCGTCCTTGTCCATCTCATCGAGCAAATCCAGCGCCTTAATACCTCGCTTAATGACACCAGAATCATCCACGGAACTCGAAGCAGCAAAGTCAGCAATGCTTCTGAGTCGTAGAGGACGTGTGAGAATGGGATGACCGGGGGGGAAGGCTCGAATGATGTTAATGAGAATGGTTTTGAGCTCCATGAAGACCACATCAGACCTGGAAATGTCAGGAAGCAAACTGAGACCATTGTATGCCCCAGAATCAGAATGAGACTCGTTCAGAACAGAAGCTTCCCACTGAGAAAAGAGAGAGAGGTCAATGGTAGCATTCTGGGCTCGAGGAACAAGAGCGGGACAGGTTCCAAGATCTCCCATAACCTTTTGAAGATGAACATCCTTAGTATCTGAAATATACTTGACCAGCAACCCGTGCATGCCGTAGATTTCGTTCAGAGTGATGGAAATAGACAGATCTTTCTTCGATAACGCAATGTACTGATCCATCTCGAGAGACTCGTAGAAGTCGGGCACCTCACACAGCTCGTTGAGAAACTTGTTGACTCTGTTCTTGTTCACCTCCAGAAATGGCGTCAACGATGCCATATAGGGCTCCTTTGAAGTAGTGGGTTTGTTTGCAATGTTCTGAAGAACCTTGGCCACCAGTGTGAGGGTTCTTCGACAGTTAGCATCATTGGGCAGTTTGTCTATCAACATGTAAGTCTGAGGAGAGACAATGGCAGGATTGATGAATCTGAGGAAGAAGAAAGCTCCAATGAGCGAGCAGACTGAAGCATCGGGAGCATCGGGGTACTTTCTTCGTGCCAGACCTCGAATCTGTTTACAGATCCATCGAATACCGTAAGGAACGATGCTCTTGGAGTTGATGATCGTCGAAAGAACGTTCTCACAGATAGCTTCGAGCGTCCTGAGACGTGGCTCAATGATTGCAATGACCTCGGGGTTCTCAGCAGCCTGATCCATCGTCATATCTGGAGCAGAGTCCGTCTCTATGAGCACTCTCATTGGGTTGATTTCGAGAGTCTGGGGATTAGAAATGATGTCATTGAGGCAATGAGACAGTGTTTCTCTCAGGTACGACTGACCAGGACCTCGTCTAGTGTAGGTAGTCATCATTCTGGAAACAGGAGTGTTGGCTCTTAGTAAGGACGAGAACTCCAGAGTGGTATCAAATTGGTAGGCCAGCACAGCTTGGAACATGGATAGCAGCAGGTGCTCTTCTCGCTGTTCGTACTGGTTTCCGTAGATGGTGAACATGACGGTTTGCAGAAGAGAATCAATCTCAGTCATACTGACCAGAGTACACAGAGATGCAATATGTTTGGGTTCTGATTGCAGCAGAAAGAAGAGATTCGAGTATAGATCCGTCTTTTTTCTGTCGGGGAAACTCGTTTCGCTGATAGCTTCGTGTTCGTCCAGACGAGACGCAATGTCTTTCTGCTCCTCCACACCCATCTTGTTCTGAATGATGAGTGCGATTCGGGTATCCAGATACCGCACGTCCTTCTCTAGCACGAAATTATGCTTGGACTGTTCAGAAATCGCAGCCTTTAGGAACCTCAGGTGTTTCTGAGCCTTGGCAAGCGCATCATCGATGTCGTCGTCCTTGTCGACTCCACCCATGGACATGTACATTGCCGCGACGGAGAATCGCTTCGATTGCCGTTGCGAGGGAGCCGTGGACGTCCCCGTTTGTTGTCGTTGCAGGGGTAGCATGGTGACTGTCTGTGGTGTGGTTGCGGGGATCTGTCGGTGTAGAAGGTTAGGATTGCCGTACTTCAAGCTTGTCTAGCTTCAGCTTGCCGTGGAGATTCTCGTAGATGTCTTCGAAACCCAACAGGAATGGTTTCTGGAACTGACTCAAAAAATCGTTGTAGAAGTGGATTTTGTCTATCGTAGATTGCCGTGGCAATTGGTGATGGGTCGCTTACTTGAATAATGTCGATGCAAGTTATTCAAACACACTCAAAATCAATCACAATGCTTCTGTGTTAGTAGAACTGAGTACTACCGTGTGGAATCTCGCGTGAGAGGCGTTTAGTGGGGATGGTGGGGTTGTCTGCGTTTGAACCGAGGTGCATGGTGACCCATCAAAGTGTGAACACAAGATGAGAATGATGACATGATCGATGGTGAGGGGGGGAAGGGGCTTTGGGATGCCATAAAGGAGAATGTTTGTGTAACGTTGTATCACATATTCTTCTGTTTGTGAAACCCATGGTCTGTCTGTCTCTCTTCTCTCTTCTGTTGCGTCTTCCAAAATCACACCCTTCAACCACCCTTGCGAAGGACCTGGTTCAACCGCGTCTCAAACAGCGTTTTTCTTGTCACTGGACCCGTCACATGATATTTCCTTGACCGAATACACTCACGTTTCTCCGAATCCGTTTGTGAAATCGAAGTTGGGCGATTCCGTTCAAATCCGTCTCTGTCGCGTGAAGATGATTTCACGGAGTCACGTCGTTTCCAGAGTTACCAACTCTAGTGGGTTTAACTCAACCTTCGTGATCGAACCTAAACCTCCAGCTTCCAAATTGGGATGTGTAAGTAAGTATGAGGGTAGCGGTGGATGATACGAGTTCAGGTAGAGTGCCGAGGTGAAAAAGAGGTGTCTGTGTGGAAGATTGACGTTACTGTCTGTGTGCCTGGACCCTCTACAGCCCCCATCACTCATAACTCCGTTCATAACCTCTCACTTATGACTGCCTTTCTACCCCTATTCTCCTCTGACATAATTACCCTTCCGTCGTCCCTATCCTTGGTTGGTACAGTAGCTCTCTCACAGTGTACGAGCGAGTACGTACGGTACGATAGATACATACAGTAATAGTGTGCCACACAACCCGCATCCTAGTCGCAAACACTATCTTGTTAGCAGCAGCCAACCCCTTTAATCACGTGATGCAGATCTAAAAGCGGCCAGCCCCAGATCTGGACCAATGCGCTGTTTTGGCGGTGAAAAGTCGGCGGATTTGGAATTGGGAAAGACGGAAATGCTGAGAACGTGCGGGAGAACCCATTACGCAAGTGCCCTTACTTGTACTTGTACATCCCCGGTACCTTGTAACATTCCTTTGACCACTCCCCACAATGCCAGATTAAGTTGCGACAAAGAGAGCCATAATATGTCGTTTAATGTGGACTAACATGGTCTAATATGGTCTAAATATGATCTAATATGGTGGAATAACAAGATACAGGGGGTGGGGTGGATGATGACTTCTTGTCGGCGGTGCATACTAGTCCACATTGACATTTTCTCTTAGGGCTGGTAGTTGTGCTCGGGGCTACTGGTCAGTCTTGACTGCGCCAATATCCCCCAAACCGTCGCGTGAATTTTCCTTTTATTATACTCGTAAACGCACTCTACTCCTGACACAACGGCACATCTACCCCTATACGATCGACAGAGTTTATCTATAACAAAATGTGAAACGCGCCGGCGGAGGGAGTGGAGTGGAGTGGAAGGAGGTGTCACGTGGACGAATATTAGTTGGTGGGTGAAATATGTTACGAGTATCGTTCTCTTATTTGTACGGGAGTTCGGCCTAGTGATTCACGATGCACGTGTTGTACTAGTGGTGATAACCGGACCGCCGCTAACTAAAGAGACATGTTCTGATCAACATTGACAGGGCTGAAGATCTGCGATTTTTGATACCAAAAAACTTGATTCTGGCTTTGACGATGAAATGTGAAACACTAAGAGGAGGTGATATGAAGACCTGGCTGAAGCTGACCCTGTCGGATTCGAGGACGCTGTCTGAAGTGTTTGAGAGTAAACATGGTGTGATACGCACAGTGAATGTTTGACTTGAGGTGCGGAAACTACTGGTGTATCTAATGGGGTGGATCAATAAGTTTGTGTAGAACGTACTACACACAATTTGAAGGAGAAAGTCCTTGTGTCCATATCATTACTGGCACAACATCTTCAAATAAATGATCATATCCTAGACGAGTCGTTTACCGAGTCGCCTCGTCAAGTCAAGCCACTACTTATAGCTATACCACGTCAGTCGAGACACCCGTTCTCTGTCAATTGAACCATTATTCAGTCAATTGAACCATTATTCAGTCAATTTAACCGTTATTCAGTCAATTGAACCATTTCTTGTATCAAGAGATCCCCTGAACTCCTATGAATGAAAAAAAAAAAAAAAAAAAAAAAAACCCCGAGACAAAAAATACCAACAAAAACCGCACTGAAGTTAGCGGCCGGAGAACACCCTCGAAACTGAAACATCGGTAGATAACATGTTGATTGTTAGCCCGATTAGTTACTCCAATTGGTCACTTATATTCTGTCTCTATGTCTCGTAAGTCCCATAATCATGTCAGTTACTGGCTCAGTCTACTCGTACTTATCAGTAACACCACACTCACACCAATAACCTAAATCTAGAACATATCTCTTCAGCCGCACCATAGTGGTCCTTCCATTACCAATCACGTGGCCAACCTGTTGTTCATCATCCCATATCTATTACCCAAGTCACGTGAAAAGTCACGTTTTCTCTACCCGAACTCAAATTCTCGCATTGTCCACTTTTTCTCACCGAAAACCACGTGGGCAAGCCACATTGCGCCCAAACTGTCAGACACGATGATGATCTCCATATGTCGGTCACATCGGTGTGCCACGTGATCGCACGTGAAATCACACGCCACCGTACAAATCGTATGAGCGTCAAGTTGACTATCTCACATATATGTGACAAGACAGCGCTTTGGTTTAAGAGATTTAGATCGATGTTATGTACAGTAAAGTAGCATTGAAAATCGTAACATTGTATTGTAAAATAAGCACGTCCTTGTTTATGGAGAGTCTTAACGACACACTCTAAGTCGGCGAATAATGCTTGAATTTTGTTTCTGCCAAGATATATTGAGTCTCCAGATTTAGAGGAATCGAACAATGCCCCTAAATTTCCATTTATCCCTTCGTAGGACCCAGTTTATGCATCGTGAAAAATTCATCTAGGTTCAACTAAAATTTACATGATCCATGTATGTCACTTTTATGTATATATGTGCGTGGGCTGTATTGGAAAGTTCCAGCACATGCCCCAACCACGAGATTTGGTGGATGTTTCCGCCAGTTTGGAGAGTATATCATCATAACTGAATCACGTGATTCATGTGGAGTTGGTTATTTCCACTGGGTTACTTGTCTCTGAATTTGGAGCGTTTCAATGTGTCCATCTTCTTTATCATAGTTCAATAGCCGTTAACCGACCATGAATGTGGAAATACAGCAGTATCGAGTCTACAGGATGAGTACTTAAATAAGATGCATTTCGGTAGATTCAATGAATTTGCAAGGATTCGATGACTCCAATGATACCATTCACAGCCAAAACGCAGTAGCTTTGATCCACATAGAACTCGTCAACATTGCAAATATATACTTAGAAGACAAATACGGAGGTTCAATTATGACATTCAATATATCATTCGAATCGTCGTGATCTCCTCTTTCATTTGAGAAATATTTCATATCAATTACAACAAATCTGGATGAGATGCATAGATACTTACACATTTTGATCTAGCCACCAACTGAGGCATTCTAAGAACTCCAAAAAAGTCCCAAATCATTACTCGGTGCTATATATACCAATCCCAAAGCCCTTCCCGATAAAATCTACCCCAACACCCCCTCCATAACATCCCCAATAAGTTCTCCTCCCACCAATGTGCTCTATAACAACCGGCGATTTAAACTCTAAAAACATGGTAACCTTTTTTCTACACCTGTCCCAAGCCACTTTTCTTCCTCCACCACACCCTCATATCTTTACAACATACACAATGACTCCCCCTCCCGTGGCCCAGACCGTGCTCGAACACATTGGCGACACGCCCATGGTTGAGCTCCAAAAGATCCCCCAGTCTCTGGGCATCAAGTGCCGAATTCTCGGAAAGTGCGAGTACTTCAACGCTGGTGGATCCGTCAAGGACCGAATTGCCAAGCGAATGGTGCTTGAGGCCGAGAAGCAGGGCCGAATCAAGCCCGACGCCGGCTACACTCTGATTGAGCCCACGTCTGGTAATACCGGTATTGGACTTGCTCTTGTCGGCGCCGTCCGAGGTTACAGAACCATCATCACTCTGCCCGAGAAGATGTCCAACGAGAAGGTGTCTGTGCTCAAGGCTCTGGGAGCCGAGATTGTGAGAACACCCACTGAGGCCGCCTGGGACGCCCCCGAGTCCCACATTGGAGTTGCCCGACGTCTGGAGCAGGAGATCCCCAAGGCTGTCATTCTCGATCAGTACGGAAACGAGGCCAACCCCGACGCTCACCTCTACGGCACTGGTGCCGAGATCTGGGAGCAGACTGAGGGTAAGGTGACCCATCTCGTCGCTGGCGCCGGAACCGGAGGAACCATCACCGGTATTGCCAAGGCTCTCAAGGCCAAGAACAAGGACGTGGTTGTTGTGGCTGCTGACCCCAAGGGCTCCATTCTGGCCGTCCCCGAGTCTCTCAACGACTCCAACGAGGGCTACAAGGTCGAGGGTATCGGTTACGACTTCGTGCCCGACGTTCTGGACCGAGACGTGATCAACTCGTGGATCAAGACCGAGGACAGAGAGTCCTTCCTGCTGTCTCGACGACTCATCAAGGAGGAGGGTCTGCTTGTGGGTGGATCTTCTGGCTCGGCTCTGGCTGCCGCTCTTCAGGTCGCCAAGGACCTCACCGAGAACGACACTGTGGTTGTCGTCTTCCCTGATTCTGTGCGATCTTACATCACCAAGTTCATTGATGACGACTGGATGAAGAACAACGGCTTCGTAGACGATGCCACCCTCGCCGAGCAGGCCAAGCGAAAGCAGCAGTACAAGGGCGCTACCATTGCCGATCTGCATCTCAAGCCCGTTGTCACCGTAAAGGGTGACTCCACTGTGGCTACTGCTGTCGAGCTCATGCGAGAGAAGGGCTTTGATCAGATCCCCGTTTCCAGCAAGTCCTCCGGCAAGCTCATTGGCCTTGTTACTCTTGGTAACCTGCTCTCTTACCTTTCTCACGGCCGAGCTACCCCCGAGACTCCCGTTGAGAAGGTCATGCTTGACTTCCGAAAGCTCGACTCTCACCAGCTCACCGCCGATGCCATTGCTTCTGCCACCGCCAGCCTTTCCATTGGCACTCCTTCTGGCGATAAGAAGGCCTCTAAGCAGCGACAGTTTGTGGAGGTTACTGTTGACACTCCTCTGTCTGCTCTCAACAAGTTCTTCGAGCACAACTCCAGTGTTATTGTCACCGAGAAGGACTCCGATGGTGTCAAGCCCGTGCACATTGTTACCAAGGTCGATCTGCTCGCTTACCTCGTCAAGAATGGTTCTTTTGAGTAAGACCACCGATTAAGGGTCAAGGGTTATGAGTCTGGGGTATCATCATACGCCTGGAATAGATAGTTTCGTGGCGGACTGTCTCAAGGAGGAACAGCCACTTTCAACACCTTGTAATTAGTTCAACACTTTGTGTATAGGATAAGTTATTTTATGAAGCATGAACGCATCTAATCACATGAACAAGCAAGTGTTGCCTGGCGAAGTGTAGATGAAAGCAAAGTAATGGGTTACAGTGTGAGCATATCAGATGCAGCGTCTGTTTTGCAGCGATACTTGTGACGCCACCGTACTGTACTGGAACCAGTACGAGTACTACTGACATACTGCTGTATAACTCCTTGAGTCTTCTCAAAGACGTATGCTCAACTATCTGTACAAAGGGTCATTCCTTAACCAACTAAACCCAAACTAAAGGATCAACTATATTTGTATCTCAATCGTAACAGATCCAGCGATAACGTGAGTATTACTGTGTCAGTTCAAGCGTGTTTCTTGAATCTGTTTAAAAGTTATGTATTTGATATCCGCCTGTATATTTTACCTGATGATGGCTCTCTCCAATCATTGAAAGAGCACCCCCAGCCCAATACTACTTCAACTATAATTTCAATTTTCCCAATTACAGTAATTGGACATCCGAAGAGGGTTTCATGGCGGAGACTACCAGTAGAACAAACATCTGTGAGTGTTCTAATTCGTTGTAATTCTTGGATACAGTATTATAACATGGATTCCGTTACTAGCGTATTAGGAACTCGAGCTATATGCTCCTAGAACGCACGTATTCTCTTGTATTGGTCTCTCAACGGCTTTCCATCGGAGGATCAACTCGTAGTTGGATCAACTAGGACAGTTAAGAAGGATTCTTTGTACAGTAATTGGCAGAGACCATTACCATGAGGTTTTTCGATCAATTACGTCTATGCTGTCTCGTATGGTGGCCCTGGACGTCTGCTGGACTCTTCTGAACCCCTTAAATGTTGCCCATTGGCATGGTGGTGCTGTTGAATTTCACCAGGTAGGCGAATATATTGAAGCGCAACAATCACAGCAAGAGATATTTCCGACAATTCTGTGATTTATGACTCCCTCCTCTTCAGACAACTTCCAACCGACCCCCTCCCCCCTTGGTCACTATGATAGTACGAGTACAACATCCTCACCGCGTACAGTGCCCCACGTAAATCAGTCATATTTCGTTTTCTAAATACACTGGACAGTACATGGAGAGGTCCGGGCACTCAGTCAATCAATAAACAAGAGTACCCCAATCCTCCTGATAGTATCAATCCACAAATTTGTCTGTCATCAGACTGAGGAGCACTGGACATGCGTCTCGAGCGATGAACCTTGGCTTTACTCAAGTTCCTCGCATTATTTCATACCAAGAGCAGCAACCAAAGACTTGATGTCGTCCTTGGTCACCTCAATCTGCTCTTGCTCAAGCACAGCATTGAGTCCCTCCAGTCGCTTGCCAACCTCCTTATCGGAAATCATCTTCATCATGGTCATGAGACCAGAAGCTCGAGTACCGTCGGGATTCACGTAGCCCTTCTCCAGCATGAAGTCCTGGAATCCGGCAATCTCGTGGAGCACTCGGTCGTTGTTTCGGATCTTCTGGATGAACTCGGACTGCTCCAGAGTGTTCATGAGCTCGGGCTCGGGCTTCTTCTGCTCGTTGAACCGGGCCAGAGAGGTGGAAAAGGGCCGGACTGCGGGCCGGGCCACGGCAAGACGGACCACGTTGCTGGAGGCGGAAAATCGGGCAAGTCGGAACATTGTAGCAGGTGTCAAGTTGTGTTATGTGATGCGAAAGAGAGCTGATTTGCGACCCTGATGTAAATGCTCGACTTCGGAGGAAATAAGGTTCCAACAAGATTTTGCTACACCAGGCAGACCTATAGATGGAGATCATTATGGCATTTTAAGAAGATGAAGAGATGATAATTCTTGTACCAAGCTCATGATTGAACCTATAAAAGTTTGAATGCTTTGGTCCGAATTGATTTCGACTAGAACTGACCGAGTTGTGAAGTTTTTGCTGCTCAAAGAGATATAGTCACGTGTTTGGTATCATTCGAGTCGCTAAAACGTGCCAATTTTCATATTACTTTTCTTTTTTATCTAATGTTACTCTGGAACAATCTGGTTTGTATGTTCAAAATTCTTATTATGTAATCACGAATAGTGGTTATAATCAAGAAGGGCTTGGTGAATATGTATTCACCTGGAGATTAAGATAGGTGGGCCATCTGACCACTCAATCTGAAAGCTCGTTTATGCTGCTTCATTGATCCCTAGAGGATGTGTAATTCACATGTACATACTGCCCTATAGCTTCGAGGTGTCGTCGCCATTGTGTGGCCTATTGTACTGCTAGCTACGCGATAACAGCCCCTTCGTCTCTTCAAAATGCAAATCCAATCACTATACCATATATACCGTATGGTCCATTTTTCGAGATAAGTCGTCTATGTGTGAGCCCAGATTTCCTTCTTATGACGCAGTCGTGTTCAAGCGAGCTGCTTTAAAAGCATAGCTGCTGGAAACCAAGAGTTCTGATTTTTAGTCTCCGACGGTATTATACGCCACATCATCTGGTGAAAAATCCGGTGTCAAAGAGAGACTGTAAAGGTAGAGTCAACCAAACAGAAATATGACTTCCGGGCTTTCCGAGATCTTCATGCTTGCGGTTAACTGAAGATACCCCTTCGGTAGTTCTCTCTCAACTGCTGCAGGGTAGCTCTCTGATCATGAGGAAGGGAGGCCAACTGGGCATCAGTAAGAGCCAGCACCTGGTTGATCATCTGCTGCTGTTGAGGATCCAGATGCGTGGGTGCCGCCACGTGATGTTGAGCCTGAGGCTGGGGAGTCACGTGCTGCGGCTGAGGAGTGGAGTGTGCCGGTGCCTGGGGCTGCTGACCTCCGACAACCTGTTGAACAACCTTCGCGTCAATCAGTCCCATCAGGAGCATGGCCTGGACTGCTGCGTAGGTGATGGGTTCGGAAACCTGGAGAATCTGGGCCGCTTCGGCTGGGTTCTTTGTAATCAAAGTCTTAAGATGAGCAATAAGATCAAGCAGCTGGTTGGGTTGAAGAGCCGAAAGAACGGTGGAAGTCGCGTCGGGCGTGGTCAGCGTAGGAGCAGGCGTGGGAATCGGAGTGCTGGGGTTGGGGGTAGTGGGGTTAGGTGTCGACTGCTGACGATCGTATCCGTGACCCTGACCACCGTATCCCTGACCGCCATGGCCACCATATCCTTGTGCGCTACCGTATCCCTGACCCTGGCCGTATCCCTGACCCTGGCCGTATCCCTGGCCACCACCATAGCCCTGGTTACCCCCATATCCACTCTGGGGTCCATCAGGATGGGGAGATCGGTAGTCTCTACCTCCATCTCGACCGTATCCCTGTCCGCCGTCTCTTCCACCGTATCCCTGATCTCGCCCATATCCCTCACGTGCTCTCTCTGCTCGATGTTGCTGCATGTCTTGTGTGAAGGCTGTTCGGATCTGACGTTGACCGATTCGCACGTCTCTGAGAGACTCCAGAGCTCGTTCGGCCTCGGGTATCGACGAGTACTCAACAAATCCATATCCTTTTGATCGTCGGTTGTCTGCTGGGCCTCGTTCGGTGACCAGACGGAAGCCCACCACTGTGCCATGTCGTCCCAGCATGTCTCGAACCTCTGGCTCGGTCATTTCAAACGGAAAGTTACCGACAAAAAGTGTCCGCGATGGCGGTTGCGGCGTGTTTCTGTCCATTTTGCACTTTTCGGATTAGTGATTGCTGCCGTGGGGCGTATGTTGGATCGTCTGCTCCAAAGTTGTGCAGGAGAATGTGGTGATGTAAGAAAAGAGGTAGGTTGGCCTGCAGAAGTTAGTGAACAATAGGGTTATTATGGAGACAGAGGAGATGGACAGGGGGAGAAAAACGGGTGATTGGTACGAATATTTACATGTTGATGTCATTCTGATGAAAATTCTTCGATAGAGAAGACAGAACCAAAAAGATCCATGTCAATTCGAATCTGGAAATGTTGGAGCCGTTCAAGTCCAAAACAGACAACCTCGAGAGTACGAGTCATGTTTAGATCGGATCGGGCAGAGAATTGAGATGAAATGTCTGGATAGTATTGATGAATTAATGTACGGTGACTGTTCTCTCTCAATCAATACTGCTAAGAGTGATCCATACAGTACGTTCTATTTAGGGGATCTCTAGTACGGTAGGGAGAGTATCGTTGAGATCACACAAGTCGTATACTGACAATCACCATGGACACCTACGCTGCAGTACTTCGAATTCTGCGACCAGTAAAATGGCACTATTCCACCTCACATCCACACTTATCAAACTACAGTAATTGCTCGTTGTTATACAATATACAGTACATTTCATTAATCTATCTGGTCGTGTTTCACTCGGCTCTTGCTAAATAACCTCACCTCGCTGGATTCGGTCTCTGAGCTCTCGGATACTTCTCTGGTGCTCGGGGGCCAGAGCGTTGATATCGGCTTCACTGAGAGCCATCACCTGCTGAATAAGAGCAGCATTGCCAGCCACAGGATCGGGTGTGGACTGGGCAGGAGCAGATGGGGGGTTGCCGCCAGCATTGAGGGCAGGGTTGCCTCTGACAACACTCAACACCCGCTGTTCGTCCACCAGACCCAGGTTCAAAAGACATTGGACAGCAGCGTAAGCCAACTGGGGCGCCTGAGCAAACAAGTCCGCCAGGAGCTGAGGCGAGTTTTTGCTCATGCTCATCAGGTCTGTCACCACGGCAACCATCTGGCTCTTTGTGTACCCGTTCATAGTCTCGGACACCTGCTGAGCAGGTTCCAGACCCTGCCGAAGAGGAACTCCCGCTGGCAGGCCAGGACGTCCGTTTTTAGACACATTGGGGTTGGGAAATCGGTTCTGAGACGCAAAGAACTCTCGGACTTGTCCCTCATGAGAATGATCCACTCGCAATTGTCTCGAGCCCACCTGAAATCCATTCAGGTTTCTAATAGCCGATCGGGCAGTGTCTGCATCGGGGTATTCTGCGAATCCGTAGCCCTTTGAACGGCCGGTTTCTTTATCGAACATGAGCTTTAGGGAAATGACCGGTCCCACAGATTTGAAAATGTCCAGCATTTGCTCCTCTGTCTGATCGTAGGGAATAGATCCAACGTAAACTACTCGATCGGTCATTGTGAAGTAGTGAGTGTGCTGATGGTGACTTTGCGGGTGGGTGCTTGGGTGCAGTCACGAGATGTGTCACGAGGTTTTCTGGATGTCTGACTAAGATGTCGGCTGGGTAACTCGATTGGAAATGCAGGTGATCGAGAATCGGAGAACGTGGGGGGAGTCGGGCACTTGACAAGACGACGACTGTGTGGCTGGTGGGTCGGTCACGTACTGTTCAAGTCGGAACAACTGATGATTTTATGTCTGTGACAAGTTTGCGACGTTGAATAAGTAGGTGGGCGTATAAGCACGTTGGCAAACGGCGTGTTGAGTCACGTGGTGGAAATGCAAGGAGTAGTAGGGTCGAAATACAGTCACGTGGTGGGTTTCCGTGTGACAATCGAAGACTGGTGTTGATGTTCAAGGTGGAAGTTTCAGCGGTAGATGAGTAGACTGAAATGTATGCAGATTGGAACTTTGTTGTGATGAAAGTTTGGAGCAGGTGGAACTTGGAGAAGAAGAGAAGAAGAGGAGAGAAGCTGATGATTCGAAGTCAAGTGGCTTCTGTGTGGTTGAAGATAGTTCTGGAGTGTTTATATCAAATTTTCAGAGTAATTTTATCAAAAATGAGGATTCTAATGTGACGTTGTTGTTGCTAACAAGGAACCTTGTTTCGAGTGCTGGCAGCATGGGTGGGGGAGTTATATAAGGGCGAATAATGTGTGTGTTGGTATGGAAATAAGTGTTTTGGTTGATTTATTTGGCAATTTGGGACTGTTTAATCGTGTTGTTGAAGTATCAGAACTCTGCACTCGAAGTTGAGTATTTTATATTTTCCCTTATCCATGATATGATGTTTACTTGAGACAGTGCGAGGACGACTGCAGTATGTACTGTACAGTACTGAACTGTACTTGTACTAAGTACTCGTAAGTAATTTAGTTGGGATGGCAAAGTACATGGCTTCCGAAGGACATGGCAACGCTTGAGGATACACTGAGTACTTAAAGGTGGAGTAGTGCGGTCAAATTTCGAATCAGAACTCGCTCAGATGATGTTTTTTGTTGTTGGTTTTTTAGAAACGTTTTTCTTTGGTTTTTTGGAGACGTTTTTTTGTTGGTTTTTTGGAAACGTTTGTCTGTCGACTTGAAGCTCAGTTGACATGTGTTGCCGGTTTAGACTGTGCAACGCAACAGCAGCACCCGGAGATATATCGACAAGATAACTTTCGAAGCTTGTCGTCAGACTCATTTGCTCACGTGACACACACTCCTTTGCTCATTAGGCCGTCGTCAATACGCCCAGGACTCTCCTGACAGTGATCAGCAACTTATCTGCGCCAAAGATCTACAAGTCTCACCTGAGTTCGCTCATAACCTGTACTGTAGGTTATGTCCGTTTAAATTGATTACGCCTATGTACCCAAGTACCGGTAGTCCTACAAGATAGGGCGTCCAGTAGCAAGTGTGAAGTCTGCGCATGCTGAGAGCTACCCAGGGTAATTATGGGGTCGTCGTACTCACCGCACGCCCTTACAATCCACAAACAGGCTCTTAACCTGAAAATGCCGGATATATACGTCTCTGGCCCAATCTCCAACCACCTCCAACCACCTCCACCATAGTAATATCACCGTGCATATTGCTGTGCCAAAATTTCGTCTCGGGCAAAAATAAAGTTTCACATTGGAAGCAGTCTCACGCGAACAATTCAGCACTCGGTCGAGACATCATCTCTGTAAAGTCATCATCACATCACTACCATCATGGGACTCAGTGTTGCGGAAATCAAAAAGCTGATGGCTGACCTGGAAAAGGCCAGCGGCGAGGCGGTATACGACATTCTGCAGGTGTTGCACAAGGAGGTGGAGCCTACGGAGAAGCTGCTGCGAGAGACCAAGCTGGGTATTGCCGTCAACAAGCTGCGAACCTCCAGCGACAGCCGGATCTCGGACCTGGTCAAGAAGATGATCAAGTCGTGGAAGGACACGGTGACGGCCCAGAAGAGAGACGCGTCCAAGAAGGTAGAGGGCAAGAAGGAGACCAAGGAGGAGAGCCGACCGGTCAAGTCCAGCTCTGCGTCTTCTGGTAACGCCACTTCGTATACGCCTCCTTCGGGCCAACGAACCCCGGCCAAGGACGGTGTGTCTACAGAAATCTACTCGGACAAGGTGCGAAACCGGTGCATCGATGTAACCTACACTGCGCTGGCTGTCGGCATGACTGCGCACCCCAATGAGGTGCTCGCCTGCGCCAAGGCCATTGAGAATGAGGTGTACAAGATGGAGAATGGCACCGGCGGCAACTACCGCCCCAAGATGCGATCTCTGTACATCAACCTCAAGGACCCAAAGAACCCCGGTCTGCGAGGCAACGTCATTTCGGGCAAGATTTCGGCCGAACGACTGTGCCGAATGTCGCCCCAGGAAATGGCGTCCGACGAGCTCAAGAAGGAGATTGAGGAGATGGAGAAGCAGAACCTGTTTGCTGCTCGAGGAGCCACGGAACAGAGAGCCGTGACGGACCGATTCACATGCGGCAAGTGCAAGCAGAAGAAGGTCAGTTACTACCAGATGCAGACGAGATCTGCAGATGAGCCGTTGACCACGTTTTGCACGTGCGAGAACTGTGGTACGAGGTGGAAATTCTCCTAAGCTGCCGTTGGTGGCGATGACGTGGGTCGCCTGTGCCATGGGGGAGTGGACGGAGGAGTGTGTCCATATTGGAGTGCTTTTGGAGTGCTAGACAGAAGAGCTATGTCTGTGACTGGCTATCTTCGCAATCGAGTTCTGTGAATTCGCAAAAGGGGAGTGTATATAGTTAGATAGGTTATGTATTGTTAGGTGTTAGGATACACTGATTGGAGGTTGAGTGTTTTACCAGTGGCAGTGTGTGTAATAGTTTCAGATGGTCTACCTGTATATTTGTGCTCTGGCACGCGATATTCACTACAACTACCGTATGTACTCTGTAACACAAACAAATACCGCATTTGATGGACAGTATCCTGTTGTACTTGTGCTGGTTGATGAGTGGAAAACACCCAACTATTAGTTGATTATGAAATACAATTTAGTTAAAAAGTAGTTGAGATTAGGAGGCGTATCAAGAACTACTGGAGCTTGGGGTTGGTCAAAAATGTATTGTTTTGAGAGAGTTATAAAACGTCTACATAGTACTGATAATACTCTAGAGGATCCCTGGGGTTCGATTGTAGATGATCGGAAACCCATTAGCAACCACCACAGTTGGGGTCACCGCACTTGGGGCAGTGCTTCTTCTGGGTAGGAGTAGGAGCACAGGGCTTGGCATCGATGGCGATGGTACCGGTGATGGTGGTGTAGTGGGTGGTGATAATGGTGGTGGACTTGGGGCACTCCTTCTGGGGGCACTTCTTGGAGTGGATCTTATCCTTGAACTGGTGGATGTCCTCGGGGGACTCAGCCTGGTCGTTCATGGGGGCGGCGACGGCGAGAGCGGCCATGGAGAGGAGGGCGAGGTTCTTGATCTGCATTGTAGTGGGTGTGAAGAATACTTGTTTGATGGAGAGTAAAGAGGGTCTGGGGGTGGTTTATATAGGGCCTGGGAAAATTTGGACATTCCTTAGAGTCATAGCGACTGTCTTGTATCGATTAAAGCGATACGACCTGCTCACCTTGACGGCATAAAGTAGCTGCTTGACATGAGATGAGTGCGGAGTTTGGATGTTGGAGAGTGTCAGAAAGTGTATAGATTGGTTTGAAACAGTTTCAGGGTCACCCAAGCCCTTGTATTTGGGAGTGTGTATGTCTTCATCTGGTTATCTCGTTTCTCATCTTGAGTTCAATGGGGGCGGTCGAGTATCGCCCGTCCCACACGACACGAAGGAGGAAGAGTGTCGCAGAGTTGAGCAACTAGCTCTATACATTCAGATTCATCTGAGTTGAAAAATTATAGGTAATTCAGTAAGGTGCAAGATCTCTTAGCAATAGAGAAGTTGGTCTACTATGTACATGCTGCTGCTAATGTCCAACAAATACACTTATCTAGTGTTTGTCAGAAGGAATTGAAACTATTCGAATCAATTTATACAACTAATAGGACATCATATAGCTCTTCAGAAACTCCCTGACATTTTCCAAGTCTTTCTGAGACCTCTACTGGCTATACTATGGGTCGAATCAATATCAGTGTCGGCATAAAGTAGCATGTACTTGCCATTTCCGAATACTTATAGACATTGAACTACGGATCAGATTCCCGATGCTGCTAAGTATTCATTCAGATTGCTATTATAGACTGTGCGGCATATAGTAGACGTGGTATGGTGGGTATTGCAGCCTTGGTGAGACTGGACACACTGTAGGCAACTATTAGTCATATAAAGAGTGAAACAGGATCAAGAGAAGTTGCAATATAGTGACAGGGGTAAGATATCCGTTGACATGATTGTTTACTAGAATCTTTTGTTCAACTGGTTTATTTCAACTATCTGTATGTCTCTCCGATATCTTTAACAAATATACACTTCTCTTTCAACTAACTGAACAACAATCATTGCTCAACTCTCTACGACACTCTTAAACACGCGGAGAATAACTGCAATTCACTCACAACCGTCTCCTTCTACCTCTCCATACTCAATAAAACAATATTAATTACCCTCTCACCGATAGTCACATCCAGGACACATTTTATCAACTCTGCCATTTCCCCCAATCGCAACATCATGCAGGGAGCTGCACCTAATTTACACCTTCAACCTTGGGTGAGCAACTCAATCACAACGTTCCCACAATCACCACCACCACCCCACAGCGGTCGATCATCAGCCCGAAAAAAAGACATGCTCCGAATATCACGTGACACCAAAATCGTCGCGCGTGTCACTCACGTGACTAAATCCCGTACCTACGCCACCTCGACTGCTCCCAAGCTGGTTGTCGGCCTCGAGATCCACACACAGCTGCTCACCAAACGAAAACTGTTTTCTTCCACCACAGTACCTTCGTTGTCAACCACGCCCAACACAAAAGTCAGCTACTTCGACGCAGCTCTTCCCGGAACACAGCCGCGATTGAATCCCCAGGCTCTGCTTCTGGCGCTCAAGGCGGCCATTGCTCTGAGATGTGATGTCAAGGAGCTCACTGCCTTCGACCGAAAGCATTACTTCTACCCGGACCAGCCCGCAGGCTACCAGATCACTCAACATCGAAAGCCGCTCGCCATCAACGGAAAGCTGAAGCTCAATTGGTGGGATCTGTACAGTCAGAATGAATGGCCTGCCCTACTCGCTAAGGAGGCCAACACTGACTCAGCAGACACACGCGATCTGGCATCTCGATCTATCGACGTTCCTATTCTTCAGATTCAGCTTGAGCAGGATACTGGAAAGTCCACTTACCACGGATCAGAGACCCTGGTGGATCTCAACCGAACTAACATGCCTCTTATCGAAATTGTCACAGCGCCCGTCATTCATACCGCCTCGCATGCCGCTGCCTTTGTCAAAAAGCTCCAGACCCTGCTAAAACGCATTGGTGTGTCCACTGGAGAATTTGAGTCAGGTGCCATGAGAGTGGATGTCAACGTGTCCATTGGAGAAGACGGAGAGCGGTGCGAGATCAAAAACCTGCCCAACACCTCTTCCATCGAAGCCGCCATTGAGGCCGAGTACAACCGACAAGTAGAACTGGTAGGCAAGGGAGGAACTGTGGAGAAGTCGACCATGGGTTTCGATGGCAAGAAGACATTCATTCTTCGATCCAAGGAGAACGCTGTCGATTACAGATACATGCCTGACCCCGAACTGCCGCTGATCCGACTCAGTAAGGGTACTTTGTTGAAGGTTAGAGACAGTCTCCCCGAGCTGCCTGACAAGGTCTTCTCTAGACTGACAGATGATCCCTACTACGTGACCACCAAGGACGCCCTTACGCTGATTCACGTGGCTGGCCTGTCTGACTACTACTTTGAGGTCTTTGAGCGAGTGAGCGAGGAGACTGAGGATGCCAAGGCTCTCAAGCAGCCTGTCAACTGGGTGGTTAACGAGCTTCTTGGACGAGTTCGAAAGGCCGATGAGGCTCGTGCTGCCGAGTCTGCCGAGTCTGGGGAGCCTGATCTCGGTGCTCATGACTACAACTCCATCTACCCTCCTGCAAAACTGGCTGAGCTCATTTTGGCCGTTCACAACCACCAGCTGACGCTTCCCTCGGCCCGCCTTCTGTTCCAGCACTTCCTGGCTAACCCCGAGGATCTCAAGAACATGACTATCGAACAAGCCATCACGGAATTCGAGCTTGGTGAGTCTGGAGATGTGGTGGATGCCTGCAGACAGGTAATCAACGAGCATGAGTCTGTTGTGAAGTCTGTTAAGGACGGCTCCAAGCCGGGTTCCATCAAGTTCCTGATTGGTATGGTCATGAAGGCTACTCAGGGCCGGATCAACCCCGCCGTAATCGAGCGTCAACTGAAAACTGAGATGCGACACATGTAGACTGTTTAGCTCATCTCCTGTGGGTGTACAATATCCCTGTAATTACGATAGAATAATAATAGATTTACTGAATTGAATCAGACAATGTGCACGTGTATGAGAAGACGGCTATAGATAGGTCGGCTCGATCTATAGAGCTCACTCAGCGAGAACGCCAGGGACTTGCTTAAGGGCCTCTTTGACAGACTGAACACCGACCTTATAGTCCGACAACTCGTTATAGACCTGACAAGAAAGTCGAATGTACAGCTTGCCGTTGTGGAAAACCGGAGGCACAAAAGTGTCAAAGTTCTCTAGAGGGTAGGTGTTGATCACTTGGAGCAGATGCTCCTTATCTTCAGCAGATGCCTCATTGAGCCACTTTTCGCTCACGGGCAGTCTGATGTTGACCATGGCGGTTGTGAGTGTTCCAGCGGCGTTTTCTAGGACTTCAGTTCCGAAGAAGTCGGCAGCAAAAGTTCCCACCTTCTTAGCCAGCTCGAAGCAGTAATTTCGGATCGCCTCTTCGCCGCCAATCTGTTCTCTAAACTTGACAGCAGCAGGAGTAGAGAGGTGAGTGGAGAAGTCAGTGGTACCAACAAAAGTGAATCTGTCGACCAGACGGCGGCTCTTGTCCAGTTCAGAAGCTGCCTCGAACTCATCATCAAGATAAGTGTGACTAACGGGCAAAGTGTGGATCTTGTTGTGATGCTTCTTTGCAACTACAAGCACAGCAGCACCTCGTGGAACGTATCCCCACTTGTGAAGGTTGGAAACGAAGAAATCAGGCTCGTTCTCCTTCAGATTGAGCTCCACAAGACCGATACCATGGGCTCCATCAATAAAAGACAAGACATCCAGATCCTTACAAAGCTGAGTAAGCTCATTGAAAGGAAGAAGACAGCCAGGCATGGAAGAAACAGTGTCAAAAATGACCATCTTGGTCTTGGGGTTCTCCTTGATCACCTTTCGGAACTTCTCCACGATATCCTTGTCACTATCTTCGGGGTAAGTGATGTCGACTTTGGCCGACTTGACTCCGTATCGGTTCTCCATGAACTGAAGAGTCTTGTCGCATGCACCATAGAGAGTGCTACAGTGAACAATCACATCTCCTTCCTTCAAGGGAAGACTTCGAATGACGGTATTGAAGCCCACAGAGGCGTTGGGAACAAATACCGTGTTGAGCTTCTCAGAATTGATCCATTTAGACACCAACTCTCGAGTTTCGTCCTCCATCTTGTAGAGATCCACTCGCATAAACTTATCTGTGTTCTTCTCGATCTTTCGGATCAGCTCGAACCGTTTCTCCTCCACATCTTTGGGAGTTGCTCCGAACGATCCGTGGTTCAGAGGCGTATTCTGCGAGTCAAAGTCCCAGAACTTATGTCGAGCAGTATGTCCAAATGTCGTCGTCATTGCGGATGTATGGAAGTGTTACTGCTGTTGAGATGATGCGGTTGTGGGGTTTATGTATCAGAATTGGGTTTAGCGGGGTAGGGAATGGAGATCATTAACTTGGGCTATTTTGATCCAAATGAAATGAAATAACTCTCAATCGAATCCCCGGATCAATATTATTTCAGCTATATAATTTGTATATCTTCACAATAGACAATTGGCCAACAATGTGTGACAGTCCTCGACCAACAGAGTTCATGACTCAATAAGCGAGATTACTAATAACAGACTAACATGCGGCTGAGGTCTTCCGAACTCTTTGTAAATCAATACCTCCAAGAGTCATAACCGAAGTACCGCTTTAGGACGAGATTTTCAATACTTCTTTGTCATTCTACGTGCTTCTCCTTTTCTCGGTTCAATCTGCATGCTTCGCGGAACGTGTCTCGGAACGTTATGGTACGTGATACCAGTCAAGTACATCCAGTACAGTATGTACAGATATACACTACAGTACTTGGGATTACAATCTGTACACGATAATATATCAGATACAAAATACAACGTGATATTGTTTTAAATCACAGCCATTTGGTCCAACCAGAAGTCCCACCCTTGCAGATCAACCTACCAATACGCGTCTCGACTCAATGAAGGTATGACTCGGAACAATCAACGGGTTAAATCTGTTTCAACGACATACCATGAAACGCACGATGTCATCAGAGCCGCCCCCTCCAGTTAAACAGCGTGCTTTGCATATCCATTTGGCGCGTTCATCACAGACCCTAGATCTGGAGTTGCACCTGTTCGGTTATCGGTTACCCCGCAGTGTTAATAGAGGGTATTTTTCAGTTCAGAAACAAACGGATAGCCGTTGTCTTAAGCGAAACTGAAATATGGCAGACAGGTGTAAGACAGACGTTCAAAGCAGTCAATAACAGAAGCAAATGGAGTGATGAAAGATGACTAATAGAACAATGGGATTCAGCTGGAAATAGTGGTGTTCCATTACGCTGATTTGGTGTTCCATGCGCCCCGTCGACATCTCCAATGAATATCAACCATCTAAACTAAATCTCCAATGTTAGTTCCCTTTTCCTCCCAATTAATCTTAAAGGTTTACTTAGCTCTTCTTCTGGCATTAAGACACACTTCAGACGCCTCAAAAGTGATTTAATTGCTCCAATATTTTAGCGGATGACCCAGGGCGGTGGTATTAGCAACCTACAAGTGTTGTAATCACTCAATATCTCTTCCAATATCTCCAAAAACACCCCCTTTGCACCCCCACCAACCTAAAACCTCTCCAGACAATATGGAACTTTAAATGTCCCCTTAATGGCAAACATCCATTTACACACCACCCGAAAAATGGAGAAAACTAAACACACAAAATACTTCAGCCGCTGCCTGTTTCTGCTGCCAGCACAAGCGACTTCCTACGACGGAAACCGGCTCTCCATCGTCTACTTCTGCCTGAGCGGACTAGATCTTCTGGGAACCCTGGATCAGTTCATCAAGACAGACGAACAGAGAAAGGAGTACATTGAGTGGATCTACAAGCAGGTGGTCGAGTCTGGGGAGGGATTTCGAGGATCCCCCACGTTCAAGCTCTGTGGACATGAGCATAGCGAGTCACGAGAGGGAGACAACAGTGAGTATGGGGAAAGAGGCGGAGATGTGGTTATGGTGATATAGTAGGGGTGATCCTGAATTATGAGGAGTCATCAGGGGGTTGAGAGCATCTTACTGAGATTCCCATGTTGTTACTGCCGATGTCTGTTACATGGCCCGAGACCATTTCCCTGGAATGGACTCACTTTTCTTGATCTGTTGATCCCATGAGTGTGAAATAGATCCAAGTAAATAGAGCCTGGTTTCGGCGCCTCTCAATGTCTGTCTTGTAATCTGCCACATTCTTATAGATACTGACCCCGATTCATCCGCTTCGTTTCACGCTAACTCAGAATATGACCCGGCTAACCTCGCAGCCACATTCTTCGGCCTTGCGTGTCTCGGCATCCTAGGTGACCGGGAGATCTGGACACGTCTATCGCGTGACAAAATTCTGTCGTATGTGGCTTCTTGTCAGCGTGATGACGGCAGTTTTGGATCCTTTTGCATTGATGGAAAGGTGGCCCCAGATTATGATATGAGATATTGTTACCTGGCCACTGGCATTAGACGACTGGCACGTGATACCTCAGAGAGATTGTCTAGTTCGCGAGACATTAACATCCCTGCTATGGTTGGCCATATCAAGAACACAGAGTCGTTTCAGGGAGGCATTGGACAAGGTCAGACGGGCAACGTCACCGAGCCGCACTCCGGACTGACATATTGCGGACTGTCAGCGTTGAAGAACGCCGGCCAACTGAACAACAAGGAGTGGGGAACAACGTTAGAATGGCTTGTGGGCAGGCAGTGTGACGAGAGAACAAGCGAGACGCAGGTGTCCGAGTCATCTAAGAGAGATGACAATGACTCGTCGGAGGAAGAACAAGGAGACCCCCAGACTGGAGGTTTTAATGGCAGAGTTGGAAAACTGGCAGACACATGCTACTCATTCTGGGTGGGTGCTTCATTGGCCAGTCTGGGAGGTACGAATTATGTTTCGGCTGATCTGGCCCGTGAATATCTTCTCAACAACACTCAGAACACACTTCTGGGTGGCTTTGGTAAGACCCCCGGCGAGATTCCAGATCCTTTGCATTCTTATCTCGGCGTTTGTGCCCTGAGCATCTTTGGACAGCCAGGTTTGGGTAAGGTTGTTCCTGAGCTTTGCATTAGTGAGAAGGCCTTTGAAACGTTGACTGGAGGAGATAGCACGAGTGTGGCTGTATGAGTTATGTTAATGGAACCTCTCTGATACGCGATACAACTAATAACGAGATGGCACACACCAAGTCCTCAATGTTGAGCTGCAAGACATTTCGAATTGTAGCCTTTTGTAGTCATCAGAAATATACAATAAATTACATATTTATATACATGTCCAGGAGGAGTAGCAATGTAGATGCAATGTAGATGCAGTTTTACCGCTGGTGCTAAGATAGCGATGGAGATCACGGGCTGTTGTCACCTAAAGTTGAGGTCCTGGAAGATTCATTCTCTCGAACCGCTTGACAAGATCTTCGTAAATGCACCAGGAAATACCGGCCTGGCACGCTTTTCTGCAAATTCGCAGCGCCAGGCCTCTAAACAGCGCCTGAATACCTTCATGCTGTATAATGGTCTTAACGGAGGTGAGGAAGTTGGGGTACTCTTTGGGGGCCAATTGCATTCGAGTTTTCACAGTGTCGAAGGGATTAGTACAGGTGGTGGCAATGCCTGCAGACGTTGCTGCTGCCACGGAGTTGATCATGGCAGAAGACCATGAGCTGTAGTACTTTTCCGAATGGCTAGAGGTTGTGATGTCGGAAAAGAGAATGCTGGGGAGCGCCACCTTGAGCTGTTCGTAAAAGAGCATGTATAGACCAGCGTAGGGGGCGTCTCGCGCGAAGGTCGCAGCCCAGCCGTAAAAGAAGCCTCGCATTCCATTATGCTTGTAAATTGAGGTGGCAGCATCAACTATGCTTTTGTAATGGTAGGTGGACGACTCGTATCGGACCTTGATGACAGTGATGGGCATCACCAGCAGTCCCACTGTGCCCCGTACCAGTCCTCCACTGATGAGGTTCTCTGTGTTGGTCAGCTTGGGCAAGCTTGATGTGCTTCTGTCGCCTACGGTCAGGCGTCTTCCTCCAGCAACCGCCTCACGCACCGTGTTGAGACAGGTGAAGTACATGGCCGAGCCCACCGACATTCGCAATGCCGACGGAAGGGTGCCTCGCCATAGATCCAAGGGTGTGTTGAGCGACTTGATCACTTGGACCATGGACTTGCCATTGGATTGCTGGACCCGGGTTTTGAGCAGATCAAACGGTTGAAGAACGACCGCTGACACCAGGCCGCTTGTGAAGCCAGCATAAATGTGGTTTTTGGACTTGCCGGCCATCTCGACGACTTGATCAGCTTCTCTGTCGTAGCTGTTAGTGGTGGATGGTGTGTGGGGTTGATCTGGGATGATAAAGTTTTTCAACTACCAACCATGTCAAAATAGTGGGCGGTAAATGGCGTGAGATGTGCGGTAATAGTAGTGGGAAACCCATCTCACACCGTTTGTGACCCATAACCAGTTGCCACGGTGTCTAACATTTCTCTGTCCTCATATACGCACACACAATATACTCTCTACATACAGTCCACCACTCACATATCAGTTGTATGTACTAATAGCCTCATGCAACATTAGCTTCAAGGTGCATAACAGAAACATGTATTATCGCGGCAGTTTGAGAGCAATCGACATGGAGATTTGAAGGAGTGCTTGAATTGACGAGTTGAGCAATCTGAAGAGATTGAAATTGAAAATATCTTCGAATTTCCCTGTCTGGACAGTACCGATAATGCCGAGGTAAATGGAACTTTATCTGACATAAGCTCCCTTATTTGGTGCACACGTAGATGTCCACTTTCTGTATATAATGAGGGGACGTGAAGATGATCACAGGGTATCATTTTGAAGCCCTCGATCTCCCGAGTACAATAATCAAGACAAAACAGTCACATCTTCATTGCTCAGGTCAATCCAGTTTCTGTCGTCGAAATACACTCCGTTTTAAGTACGCGTATTAGCCGCCTGGTTGGTCCCAAACCCACCACTATAAGTAGAGATCCTCCCAACGTTTATTGTGCAAAGTATTTTCCGCACCCTGAATGGGGCACTACTGTACCAGCGTTCATACTCGTATACTTCCACGCCACAACAGCACCCATTAGAACCGTGGAAACGTGCCAATGACATCCTAAATGAAGTAAACCCGGGCTAAAATGCTTCTAGCATCTAAACAACACCAAACTATGGGGATCCAGCTAACCAAAAACACAGTTCGGAACAGTATGAACTTTTCCACATATTAGCTTCTGAACCCCGCTATCGAGTAACCCCGCTATCAAGTAACCCTGCTATGGAGAGTATGACTAACTTGAAGATGTACAGTATGTACAAGTATGAGCATGAGTATATCTCATACAAGACAAGTGAGACATCACGTGATAATTGAACATTTCAATCAACTCGCTAACATGATTGGATTCTTGTAGAAATTTCTGTACGATCATGACGCCTGTCCTGGAGCACTCTTGGTGGCTGATTATAGCGTGTTGACCTGTGTTGACATATGTTGACATGTGTTGACATGTGTTGACTCCTGACTACCAAGGCTCTTAGCGTGCGGCTAGTGTGGGGAACGAGGAAATGGGCCCATATTTGTAGATATCCGCTTATCTATAATGTTTTGTGCTTGTAATATGGTCATTATTATCTGTCTTTAACGGTTTTTCCGCTTCTCGTTTCCTTGGTCCGACATGGCGTATATATTTTCACTTGCATTTAATCTATGTTTCAGGTTTATCGCTACTGTATCAGGGAGGGATCAATACTTGTATAGTATGCAAAGTATCGCTTCTGCTTAACATCTCCTCGTATCTCCATAGCTATGCCCCCTATAGATGCCCGCTATGACCAAGTAAATACCAAACTCGACATCCGCTAAGCTGCTGACCACCGTGTAGCGTCTCCAGTCCCTGGAGAGGAGGAGTAGTTTTTAGAGCCATTTAGCATTTTTTAGAATTTAATTTCACGTGCTAGTGACTGGAATTAATTGAGAGCAACTCGATAGTACGGACTAACCGACGAGCCAAGAGTCGACCGACCTTTGGACCCTCTTGGCTTCGCTCTGACAGATGTTTACATATCTTTGAGACTCCCGAATCCTCTCCACCTTCCTTCAAGATATCAAAGTCATCATGCACCCTGCAAATCCACTCTGTTCCCGCAAGTTTATTTGCGGCTAAATGGCAGGATTTGGAGCCAGGTTTGGGGGCGATATCGGCTGTGTCAACGTGTCATACGGAATCCTCACTCGGCCGTGACGGCTGTCAAATCGTCTTGTCTCGTATTGTTAGCGCGGTTCGGTACAACAGGTGGTCATCCTGTCTCCCGTGTCCCGGGGCTTGCTCTCGATCTGCCTCTGCTCGCCTCTTTGCCTCTCTTTATGGGCGTTCCGTCTCCCGGAGAAACTATTGATCCGATGCCCTGAAGCTGTCCTAGCGATAACTGTAGGGGTGCTGAAGCTGTCGTCTCCATGTATGATCCCTGACTGGCACTTTCTCTTTTATCAACGCTCCGATATACTCACCTGCATGCGGCGAGGTGGGGGTGGGGGAAAAAGAAAAAGTACGCGGAAAAACGAAAAATGGCACATCTGACAGCCAAAACTACATGCTCTTTCCGAGCCCTGGCATGCGAGACACTACTTGGACGAGATATACTACAAACACTCGAACTATACAATACTTTCAACTTGGACATACTCATGCCGTACTCCTCTACCCTACTTCCTCGTACCTCCTCCTCCTATATAACTACAAACCTCCTCCGATGCTATTTAAAGACTGAACTCTTATACATAGTGTAATACAGCGTCGTAGAATACTGCCCATGATACGACTATTGTACAAGTACTGGCAATACCTTGAAGAAAATAAAATACGGCAACATCGGCAAACCTCTCATGGAAGCAGAAAATTAGTCTCGAAAGCTCCATCTACATGTTCGTTCACATGCTGCCGTCATTGCTTCTGGGGCCCTTTGTTTGGGCCAGCTCTGTCAAAGAGATCAACAGGGTTAGCCGCCCACAAGCCTTTTCACTTTTGGCACCTGTCACTTTGTAAACCCAGTTGTCAAATATGGGTTTCCTTGTCTTCGGCGAATGTAACGTTGTTGGCCATGGCTAGTGCTTCAGATGGGAGCTGTTGGACACGATGAAGGACGGTCCAAGGTACTTGCAGACGTGCAACTCCCTGGACAGGAAAAACCAAGTCCAAACAAGTCTGTTTTGTCTGTCCTTCTCCACCTACACAAGTCGACTTTAGACCCAGTATTCGTAATTTTATGTATTCGGACTTTTATGTATTCGGACTTTTATGTATTCGGACTTTTATGTATTCGGACTTTTATGTATTCCGACTTTTATGTATTTTAGAGTCTCCCTTGTCGATTCAGCAAACCAAACAAAGCAGCTGAAAACTTGTCTCCATTTAAAATCCAGTTGAAACTGTTGGAGAGGAAAAGATGATAATCCGGTATACCCCTCTCGATAGTCCATCATAGCAACCGGAGTAGTATCATAGACACAGACTCGGAATCTTAGTCGCCACACTACATCCACTCAGAGCCAGAACAGTGTATATCAGCACGCTTGTGCGGAGCCCTGCTACGCGATTGTTGTTTGTTTGTTTTTTTGACAAAAGACTATACATCGCCTGTCGCTGGAAGACAATCTTGAGTCTCCCGGCCCTTCCCACGGCCCATGTCTCAAATCATCAGTAAACATTGGTCATGTGCAAGCTGGTCGTGCCCAAATGCAAGCTTGTACCCCTGAATAGCCATCGGTTATGAATAAACCAACAAGTGGGCAAGGTAGATCGAGAACAACAAAATTAACAGCAACCTACTACGACTGTAAACTCGAGCACCTACTTGTAGTTATTCTGGACTCAAGTCTGATGCATAAACTTCGCCCCTACATTAGCGCAACTCAACGTCCCCAACGTTGACGAGGGATCAGCAAAAGTAGAAGGAGCACCAGTGAGTTTTTAGACGAGTTTCTCCACATGTTCTCCTTCTGATTCTACTCGTCTTTTTGAAGTCGGTCGGACCATTGGCTCTTTATTGCAAGTGCTATGGTAGAAAAGAATCGTTGGACAAATTTTAAAAAAATGTCCAACCCCGGGACGTCTTAGACATCAGTTTCAACGCCTATTATAGGCCCTACCAGAGACGCTCAAAGATGACGAATACTTCTTTAGTTGGTCCCTAGCACCAGGTATAGTCTTCGGCAAGGAAATCTGTTCCGACAAGCAGGTCGTTCAGACCATGCTGTAGCGTTTTTCTCATGGTAACCGCCACAATGGGTCTCCTCAGTGTTTGACAACCGTCTACAGTACTTTCACTTGTACTTGTACTTGTACTTACACTGTAGCGTTGGACGAGGTCTTTTTGAGTCTGCTGACGATGACAAAAGAAAATATTTGGAGTCGAAGAGTTGTAGAAAAACCCACAAGCCAGACGAGGGCAGAGCGGATACTAAAAGAGCGAATACTTACGCGGATACTTAGACGGATACTTTTATCCAAGGAATAGATATAAATACAGTCGTTGTAGCATGCCCGTCACCAGTACATTGGCCACTTCTCGACGCTTTTCTTACACCACATGCCATCAACTTAGCATCGGCCTACACACGAGAAGCTAAGGAATAAGCCAACAGAAGAGGGGATGCACTACAGTAGTGGAGGGTTACTGGTTGAGGAAAAGGCTTTGAACCGTTCCTCGAGTGATACAGGTGGATATTATCAACAGCTACTTCCCTGGCTATCTCGATACGACCTCGCTGGGGCCCTTAGATATGGGACAAGGGCATTTAACTGTTCGCAATTTCGACCAGGTGCTAGTCCCCTGGCACTGATCTACAGACGAGGCCTTGTCATTGAAATTCTTCCGCATAAAGGACACTATCGACTCAACTGCACTGTACAGAGCTGTGCAGCTGTCCGCAAAAATGTCCGCCATTGAGTGTTGTGGGACGTCCTGAGGGGTTGCGGAGGTTCGTTAACGGCGGTCGAAAGAACAAGTCCATCAGTGAGTCAAGTTTAATACAGGCTACCGACTTCCCGAAATTGGATAGCGACTGGGGAACAATTGTACAGATTCCGTGGAGACGGCGAGAGTGTTTGAAGTTTGCGGATTCGTACCCGTTTGAACAGTACACTTGGCTTTGTCTTCAAAAGTACCACTAATATCAGTTCGCCGCTACCCTTTTTTATGCCTCCTCCACCCATGGACATCTTTAATTTCTATTATCATCAGCAACTACACTTGCAAGCCATGTCAAGGCCAGAAATTTCTGGTACGACATGTTCACCATTGCTGAAATTTCAAATACGACATCGTCATCACTGCCGCTTCTAATCACCGAACTGACCCTAGCAGATGGGCAGTCTCTCACTCGAGTTATTCGACTTCTTCGATACTCTCGCAGACGCTCTACAGAAGAACGGCACAACCACAAATACGCCATCAACTTATCGACCAAGACTTGAGAACTACTACGAGACACTTGACTGAAATTCGAGCAACACCGGTATCGACTAACAGTGACAATCGTAGCGTTGTTCAGGTGAGTATATACACACTAGAGGACACCAGCGGAAGCATCACGCTGGTATACTTGGCGCTTGTTGCGATGGCTCGTGGACTTGAGAATGTGAAAGAATGGGGGTACAGAGTCGTGTCCACCATCTCAGGCGGTCACAAAAACAGCTCAGTTTCCATACTGACGGGGCACGAACACCAACATGCACTTCTACAGACATATGCCCAGCAGCTCACCACCGCCAAATACTGCCATGAAGACGACCATACTGTTATTTAAACCCTTCCGCCCCTTGATTATTCTTTTCACGCTCGATTATCGCCAGTTGCGTTCAGTACTTTCCTCTCGAGATGACTGACATGGGTGAACGAGGCTACTTCCGAGAGAGCACCAACGCCAGCACAAATAAGCAGACTTGAAGACACCTGGTGGGTGTGCCATTACCATTACCATACCGTCGCTACATAGGTTTTATTCATCCACTGCTTCCAATAGTGTATATTACATGCTGTTCAATTATATGTATCTATCTACATTGCAGAGGCATGAACCGTGCTCCTACAGTACGGATGATGTTCCACTCTTCAGAGCGGACTCAGTTGATGCAGACCGTGTGTTGTGAGGACTTGGCCTCCAGCTGTGTACGACGTCGCGCAAGTCTGGCTGAGTATGTGTGTGTGTGTGTGTGTGTGTGTGTGTGTGTGTGTGCACGTGTGTTTATGTGCTGCCGATAGGTTCAAATTCTAGACGTGCAAATTAGACCGGGTTGGAATGAGGCTGCATGGCCACAGCCGGTCCAAAAGGCAACGCTCTGCTCATCAACTCCTCCACCGTTAAATTTCTCAGTCGCACCTGCTCCACCTCATTCACACCCTCCTTGTGTGTCGCCAGAGCGATCACATGATTGTTGTTGAGCATGAAAATCTCGTGGTGCCATCTGTCCTGTGCGACTCCATCGATCCACAGCTGCGCAGAGTTGCTCCAGCCTCTCTGGACAGCCACGGCGCCCACAACGTCGGTTCCGGTCTTGTCCTTGGCCGCGTCCATCAGTCTGGCCGTGTCCAGGTTTCTGAACTCTAGCTTGGCAAGGTCCATGTTGAGCCCCATGCCAATGGCCTTGGAATACGACTCCTTGAGTGCCCACCGCAAGAAGAACTCGCCATTGCCGGTGCTGTCGCTGGTGACCTGAGAGTACTCGAACGGCGAGAAAATCTGTGAAAAGCCCTCCATCCAGTTCATAGTCCAGTTTGAGGGAGGAACAGTCGAGGTGATATCCACTCCAATCTGCTTGCCATCAGGACGAACAGCCACAACCACCAGCTCGCTGTGGTGACTGATGTTGTAGTCGAACGGCGAGTTGGCCACAAATGACTTGCCCTGCGGAGTCTTCGAAATGACAATGTCCGTCCACTTCTTGCCTGTCAGAACGGTGGCAATATACCGCTGGAGCAGCTGAGAGCCGAGAGCCATCTTCGCATCGCTTCTGTACCGAAAACGCGAAATGTCGAGCTGAGATTCGACAGGAAGCAGTCGCATGGCCTGGTTGAAGTCGTTCTGGGAGTTCCAGATGGGCCGCACGTCCAGCAGAAACAAATAGACGGATTGCTTGGAGTTTTGCCAATCAAAAAGCTGTGTTAGTATTGAAGGCTGAAGGTGTGTGGACGTACATCAGGAACAAAACTCCGAGGAGAGCAGGAGAAACGCAGAGCACAACCCCCATCGCCACAGAATATTGGCCATGTCGTCGCTACAAGTCTGGCAGTCACCATCGTTATGTGAAAAGTGTACTTTGGCACACGAGGTGAACATTTATGTCCTTGATGAAAACGAAAAATGCAAAATCAAAACCAAAAAAACACCAACCACGCATGCAAACAACAACGATGGTAAGACAGATGTTGGCAGTTGGAGAGAAAAACAAAAAAAAAAACAGACAAAGCTCGGTGCGTGTGAAAGACACACTGTGGAAGTGGGGGCGAGGGGCGGATTGAAATTGTAAGGCCAACCCTGGGGAGAGATATCACAAAAAATATCACACGCACGCGTTGGGGTGGGGGGGTAAACTTCAGCTGTAAGACAGAAAAACCCTGAGTCATCTGCCCATACCCATTTACACCTTCATGGCGCAATTGGGTGGCAAGAACCGTTCCAACACCCAGAGCAATGCGTGTGTGTATGTGAGTCTGGCAATGAGGCGGTCGCAAAAACAAGCCAAGGCACTAAAAAAAACACCCCCTTCAAGTCCACTTGCACTTACATGTGCAACTTCCGCACTTCCACCTGCACTGTACTAGACAACCGCACTACTAATCACGCTACTAGGCCGCCACCATAAAAAAATCACTTGGTTAGCGGAAGCAGTCCCAGTTAATTAGTAGTAGCAGCATAAGTAGCTGAGCCAGTAGTTGCAGAAGTGGCTCCTTATGGCTGTGCATCGGTCGATTCACGTACACTTGCTCGTATCATCAATGCACGTTCCTGTAATAGGCCGCTCGTATCAGACAGGCGTCCGTGGCGATCCTTGTGTCAATACTCACATTTCCACCTAAGTAATCCGTGGTGATGGGTTCCTGAACCATGTAGTTCATGTTGAAGTCCTGGTCGAGAATGGGGTTGTAGACCGGCTGCACCTGTTGCGGGACAGGTTGCTGCTGCTGGACGGGAATCTGTTGCTGCTGTTGTTGTTGCACAGGCACCTGAGAAATCATCTGAATGTCGTTGTTCAGTCGGGGGTCCATCTCCATGCCCAGGCCCATGTTGACATGTGTGAGAAAATAAAGTGCTTTGTGCGTACCAGGGATAGGGTAGGTAGTGAAATCTGAGTTAGTACATCAACTCTAGACGATGGGCGTCGCCTGTGTAGAAGAACAATAACTCACCCGGTAACTAACACTATTTCTCGGTGGTCAATGCGTCAGAAGATATCAAGACGGTCCGTTTTGCGTTTAAGCCGAGTGAATGTTGCCTGCCGTTAGTAAATTTATTATGAAAAACCCCACTATGAATACATCAGCCTATACTGATATACCAAGAAGTGCAAGGGAGGTGGTCCTGTTCCACCTGAACGCGGTTCCCGACAGGCGGCGGTACTGAAGGGCTTTGTGAGAGAGGTAACGCCGATTCTCTCTGCAGTCGTAAGACCCAGGTGGTGTGTCCGAGGCAGTATCGCTTTCCCAACTCTAGTAACCTCGGTAGTGTGAGACACACTACCCCTAACGGTAGGACAGCCGGACGACGATGGCGCAGCAATTGGCGAACGCTGTTATAAAACAATTCACTTACGTGCAATGAAAGTTGTTTGGGCAATAAACAATAAATGTATTAGAGCCAGACGATAGACAACAATCCAGCAGATGATGAGCAGGAAAATTGAGTAAGATCGACGTGGCAAGAAGAGTTACAGTTACGCAGAGTTAATAAGGTGTTGGGAGATTAGAGTTACCCTGTCGGATGACTAACTCTCCAGAGCGAGTGTTACACCTGCCCAGGTCTAACGGGGTTTCGTCCCGAAGCCCTGGTTAGAAGAATCAAGAATAAAGGCCCTGAGCAAGGAAGGAGCCCTGAGCAAGCCCAGAATCAACACGAGCGAGCTTCGACCGAGAAGTAACTCTAGTCGACGCAGTGGTAGCTGCAGAACGGACGGAACGAGTAGCCACTGAAGCCGGGGGAAGAACATGTGGAGAACAGGCAGAAAAGCGGCCAGGAATGGCAGGGAGAGCAGACTCGCGGGACTGATGTTCCTTCATGCGGTCCTGGAACTCAACGATGGAAGCGGGGTGGAAAACCTTGAGGCGGTTGCGGTGGATACGCCGCGGGTTCTCACCGTCAACATCGTTGACAGTGTACGTGCTGGTCTCAGGGTGACACGCGGTCACGATGGAGGGACCAGTCCAACGAGGAGTCAGCTTGTTGTGGGGACGGAGGTCGTGAACAAAAACGAAATCATTTACGGCCAAGGGATCTGTATCAGCTGTGTTGTGATGTTTGTCGTAGAACGCCTTTTGACGCTGGCGTTGCAGGGTCAGGTGGTCACGAGCAGAGCCAACTTCGAAAGTAGAAGCAGCAAGTTGCAAGGTGCGCAGAAAAGCAGCATGAGCGGGGTCGTTGTGGGCCAGGTCGGTCTTGCCACTGAGGTAATTCCAGGTCAGGAAACGACTTTCGACAGGCAAGACACCAGAGACACCATACATCAGCTCAAAAGGTGACTTACCCGTGGATGAACGACGGGTGCACCGGTCAGCCCAGAGGGCGGTGTGGAGGTATAAGATCCACTGACGACCGTATTTGCGCAGGCAGTGGAGGAGGTTTTGGTGACCGCGTTCCACAATGCCAGTCGATTGACCATGAGCAGGAGTGGTGAAAACCTGCTTGATGTGGAAATCTTCGCAGAGATGCTTAAAATCACCCTTGAACTCACTACCACCGTCAGTGTAGACCCGACGGGGAACGCCAAAACGAGCAATGATGAAATCGTAGAAGAAAGCGGCTGTGGAGAGAGAGTTGATACTTCGTAAGGGCACCGCCTCAGGCCAGCCAGAGAATTCATCACGAGCGACAAGGACATACTGGTAGGGGGCAATAGTGACATTTAGCCGTCCGCGGGGGGCAGAGGAAACATCAGTGAACTGAGGGGCAGTGGGGAGGAAGTCGGTGAGGGTGGTTTGAGCAGCGAGAGCCTTGGCGGGATCAGCCAGATCGGGGTACTCCTTGGTGGGACCATGAACAGCGGGAAGGTAGAGGATGTCCAGCTGGACTGTCTCCCAAATGAGACGGGGAACCACGAAGTGGAGACTCGCCTTGAGAAGACCATGGTTGGTGGCTTTTGCACACGTGCCGCATGATGCACGATGGGACTTCACGTGATCAGCCATGCCCGGCCAGTAATAGAGGCGACGGAGAGCATGAAGGATGGCAGCAGCACCGCGGTGGCCATATTGTTCATGGGTAGCTCGGAGAACCTCAGACACCTCCTTCTCTGTGAAGAGAACACGTCGATGGAGACCAGGTGAGCTGATCAGTAGGAGAATGTCGTCAAAAATGAAGAACTCAGAGCAGATTTGACGCAGTCTAGGCGGAATGTCAACACCATCTCGATCAAGATCGCCGGAGGCAATGGTGGTGAAAATGAGATCGAGAGAGATGCCTTTGTGGATGAAAACGGGCTCTGGACCAATGGACAGGACAGTGATGGAGGCCACAGGGGACCAAGTCGGGGGCACAAGCGGAGCAAGCTCATCAGCTTGTCGAGCTGTATCAGCAACAGGAGGGCGAAAATCGACAGGTCGGAAGTCAGAAAATTTCTCACGACTCAGCCAATCGGCCACTGGATTGTCTCGGCCTTTAACAAATCGAACCTCGTAATCAAACTGTTTGATGTAAGCAAACCACCGGGTGAACATAGCGTTAGGGAGTTCAACTCGGGATTGCTGCAGTAGGAAAACCAGGGCCTGGTTGTCAGTTTCGATCACGAAATGAACGCCAGTGACATAGTGACGGCACTTCTCCAAGGCACGTTTTACAGCAAGGCACTCAGTCTTGGTGGATGCGTAGGTACGCTCAGTGGGGTTCCACAAACCACTCTCGAAACGGACGGGGCGACGGGCAGCCGGAGGGCCAACACTGACGATGTGAGACATTACTGCGCCCCATCCGAGGGAGGACGCATCAGTGGTGATGACAATAGGTAAGGTGGGGTCGTAGCGGTGCAGAACCGCAGGGCTCACCATAGCCTTTTTTAGCGCCATAAAAGCAGACTCGGTGGCCTCGGTCTTGGTGATCTTGAGTTTGCCAGCCTTCTGCGCAGCGGAGATGCAGTCGTACAGAGGTGCAGCGATACTGCTGAAATGAGGGATCCACATGCGAAAATACACCACAGCACCGAGAAAAGAGCGCACACCACGGACAGTAGTGGGGAACTCGAAAGATTCGATCTTCTCGGAACTGCCAGGGGACGGGAAGCGGCCTTCAGAGGTAGTGAGGAAACCGAGGAACTCAGCCTCACTGACGAAAAGCTCGGCCTTGTCGAAAGACACAGTCAGACCCGCTTCATAGAGATTCTGAAGCACAGCCATGAGGTTGTCCATGTGTTCGACGATGTACCGGCGGCAGCCCGGAAAGTCGTCATGCATGGCTCCGCCATAGTCAGTCTTAGGCCCGAGAACGCCAATATCGTCCAAGAAAACAACAGCCTGATCCGGAAAGAGGGGCCCAAGTACGCGCAGCATGGCACGGTGGAACACCGCTGGAGAGTTGCACCAACCTTGAGGCAGGCGCGTTAACCGATAGGAGCCAAAATCTGTGTTAAAAGCCGTCAAGTCACGGGACTCGGGAGCAATCTCCTTCTGACCGTAACCATTCTTAATGTCAAGCAGGGAAGTTACAGCACGACCACAGAAACTCTCAGCCAGGAGGTCCGCGTTGGGTGGGTGGAAAGCATCTCTCAAGGTGATCTTGTTGAGGCCCTGGCAGTCAAGGATGAAACGGTATCCCGAGCTCTTTTTGCTCACGAGGAACCAGGCGTTGCGGTGGGGGGAGGA